TAGAATGTCCATAATTCAAATTGAATAATTAATATAGAAATATTTCAAATTAATTGCATGCACAAAAGTAAATTATTATACTTATTATTACAGATCTATTGAGTGGAATGACATGCAGAAATTTGGGCATTGGAGATTGGAGAAAGTGAATGAGTTAAATACGTGAGATTTGCTATAGTACAGATTGTTAAACGCATGAGGATCAAAGTGATCGATATAGACAGATAGTTTATTGAACGGTTGATAATAAATTAGACCATAGTGGTGCAATATATTGCCATGAATTCGGAATTTAGCGTTACGTGGTAATTGACAGTTTGCCGCGTGTGTGTTGTCCCTATAGCACGACAAGTCGAATGCATACATCGGAATGTTGAACAATACAAATAGCCATGTCCGTCGCCCGTCAATAAATCTGATTCACTGAAACGCGTGATATATATTTTACCTCGTTCACACAGATTTTATGAGCATTTTATTGTACTGTCAGTATTAAATTATTCCATACGCTCGTTTGCTGATTTTTCAATTTAAAATTTTATTTTTTTTAAATTCATTTCCTCGTTGAATTTTACCTGGACTGTATCAAATATTTTTTATTGCTCAATTTTTTATGACTGTTGAAACTTTTTTGATTTTCGATTAAAAATACAATTGTTGAGTTTTTCAGTCTCAACAGTTATGTCAAAAGTCAATCAAAATTGTTTTAAATAAATATGACACTGAACCTTTTTTTGTTCTTATTTAAAAACCAAATGACTAGTATTTATTTATTTTATTTATTTATTTATTCATTTTCTAGCATACAGGTCTATAGAGATGCATAGGCATCTGTACATAGAGCTAGATATTAAATAAATTATCCTAATTTTACAAAATATTAAAAATATATATAAAAATACAAAATACATAAATAGTTTGGGAAATGTTAATATTACACAAATTTTTGTATAATTACAATGACAGATTCTTAATCCAATCTTTTATCTTATAATTTAGTGTCTTTTTACTACAATTTAATATCTTAAGATTATTAGGTAAAAGGTTAAAATATTTTATTGCAACATAGTAAGCGTTCTTTACGCTAATCCTTTTATTAATTTTCGGAAGAGATATCGACTTAAATCTAGTTCTAGTTTCTTTAGCATTGTATTGCTCTTTACACTCTTGATAGTAACGCATTAGGGCTTTTACAATAAAAATAATTTTTTTTTAAATAATTTATTTACTAATTAAATTTTTAAAAATACTTAAACAAAAGTTATTAAAATTGATTGAAAAAAAAAATTTGATGAGAGTTATTTATTTTGTTTTAATCGCAAAATTAAGACACATACTAAACAAAAAAAAAAGGGAGAAAAACGTTCATTACTTAAATTTTCCATTGACAGTAGAAACCAATCAATCAATTGGAGTGATTCTGACAGAAATTGAAAAAGCTGGTCGAAAAAAAAAAATCAATGTCATAAATTATTCGATAAAATGAAAAAATGGTAATTTTTTAATTCTTTAGTCGTCAATAATTAATCAATCGATTTAAATGCAGTCCGGCATTTGATGCAGTCTTTCAGGCTCAAGAATAGGGTTTAATTTAATGTTGACCGGTGATACACATAATTATTGAAGAAAGAAAACACATTTTAAAAGAGTATGATGAAAAATAATTCCAAATTGATTTTTCTGAGTAGGATAAAATTTCAAAGAAATTCTAACATGCACACAGACATGATTTAATATCTGACAAAAGCTCAATATCTTCTCGAATTTTAGAAAATTTATAATTTCCTTAGTTGAAAGTTTGAAATCTCTAACAATTTAGGACAACTTTTCTATATTTTAAAAATAATGATAGTCTTAAAGTTTCGCTCTTTTAAGCATATAATTATTAATTTAGGATTAACGGACAATTAAAAATAAATTATCTAATTAATTAAATGATATTAAGAAAATTAACGAATGATTAAAACAATTATGGTAATTCAAAAGTGTTAATAGAAAAAGTTTATTACTGTTTATTAAAAAATTAAATAGTTTTGACAATTTACCTAATTAGCAGCATAATTAGCTGTCATAAATTCTTAAATATTTCGAGGAATATTCTTTTGTCTAGAGATAAAAAGAGACTAAAAAAAAATAGTCAGGCGTTTTTTTGCCTATTAAAAAGCCATTAAACGATCTCTTTGCTGACTAGCAAAAATTCAAAGCGTATCCAAGCTTTCACGGATTGTTGAAAAAACTGCGAATCATCTCATTAAATTTATTTGTTATCTCTCACAAATTAAATTATTCAAGGGTTAGTTTAATTAAAAACTATTAGTCACAAAATTTGAATTATAATACTCGATGAACATAAAAAAATACAAAGAAAAAATCATGAGTCTGTAGTTTAAATTAAATTTAATGCATTACTGTCGTAAATTAAGATTTAAGCAATGAAATTTATACAAGTACATAACAGCTTCTACTAGCGTAAAACACAATCACAAGTTGTTTGGCTCAAATTTCTTCAACACTTTTAATCAATTACGGCCCATTTATCTGTTTCATTCAGCAATTTAGTTCTCCTCACAATGAAATACGTCGTTATATCTTACTTTTATCTGTTGAACACTTTCATCACTTGGCTTTTATTCTGCCAAGTAATTTACTACTTAGAAATATTGTAAAAATTTAATTACAGCTTAATAGATACAATGTTCTAGTAATTTACGATAAGTGTTGACAGACAAGATCATCAATCAGACTTGTTAAAAAGTTATATTTGTTTAATAAATTGAAGCAATATTTTGACAATAACAACTGACATATAACTGACATAACAAGATTAACAAGAGCTATACACATACATGCGGGTATCAATGACCGCTATGACCTCTGTCCATTAGAGCTCACTATCAGATATTTGCTTTTCACTCATACTTGTCAGGTAACAGGAGCCCTCAGAAAAGACGTAGGAGAGCCGTATAATATTAACGACATAATTTTCATGTAAAATTTTTTAATCAAGTTGTAAATAATACTCATATAATTACCTTCGATTTTAAATATTTTTATTTACTGAATAAAAATTTTTTTTTTATTTAATTGAAGATTTTTTTTTTAATTTGTTGATCTATTGAAAAAAAAAAAAGTAATTGAAGTTTAATCGAAATTTTCGTTCTTTAAAGTGAAATAACAAGATTATAATTTAATTCAAACATATAATAATATTGAATTTGTAAATACCTAAAACTTTTATTTTAAAAAATACCAAAAAATTTTTATTTAAAAAAATTATAAAATTGTTCATAATGTAAAATTTTTTAATTTTTTGTTAATATTTAAAATTTGTCAAATATTTTATATTAACTGTGTTGATGTTTCTAATTAATGAATTACTTAGTATTTAATTATTTCAATCATTAAAATTGAATAAATTTGTCATGGAAATAAGAATTTTATTTTTATATTAATAATATCAAAGTTCATAAAAAGTCTCATGAAAAATCTAAATTTCAAAACTTTTTTTTAATAGTAATACACATCTCAGTAAGGTATAAAATATAAAAAATTAACTTGTTGAAACATAACAATTCCTTATTGAAATATTCTTATATGCTAAGCAAAAAATTAAACGATAATAAAGAGGATATTATAATTTACAAATTTAATATTAATTTGAGTATATCAGTAAGTATATTTCATCAGTTATACCTTTTCAATTTTATCATTTTCATTTTGTAACTTAAAACTTTTTTTTTAAATACTTACTTTAATTAAATTTCATTATAATCAAAAAACATCGAAAATAATCATTCAAGGCACTGTTTTAAAAACCACCTTGACATTTATCAGAAAAGCAGTAATTATTTTTGTTAAATTATTTAGTAAGTAATTATAATAATGTATTTCAACAACTTTGAGATATAGTCTTGAAAATAAAAAATTTGAAAAAAATAAAATAAATATTTATTAATCATCACGAATAATATAAACAGCTTAATTGAGTACAAACAACCTGCATTCACTATTATATGTAACTGCTGAGAGTTAAAAATTATGAATAAAAAACTTTAGCTTCATGATTTTTCAATATTTTTATTTACGGCATACATAATTTGTTAATTAAGTACTTCTAAAAAGATTTCAGAAAATAATATTGCTATGAAAAAAATCAGTTTAATATAATTTAATAAAATAGGCAAATTTTAAGTAAAAAACTATTAGAACCAACAAACTATTCAAAACTCCTCCAAAAATTTAACATAAAAAATTGACTATCACCAAAAAATACATGAAATTTATTTATTTATTTTATTTAAATCAACAAACCCAACAGCCTAGGCCATTAACAGGGTTAATAGTAATACAATAGTTAGTACATATAATAAATTTTTATGAAGTACAGCAAGATGACTTATAGCTAGCATAGTGATTCCATATATAATTTACTGAATAAAATGAACAAAAAAAAAATAAAAGAAAAACTAATGATGAGTTAGCTATTGCAACTTATGCAAAATAATATCAGATCACAAAAATACAAAGAAAAGAGAAATAGAAAAAAAGAAAACAATATAAAATAATACAATACTCCAAGTATTTTAGCTGAAGTTCTCTTGTCTAAAGTTTTACCAGATATGTTAACTATTCCAGATATTTAACTATCAAAATCCTTTTTTAAATAAAAATATGTCCATTACAAAAAATATTCTTTATCTTCATTATTTATATTAGGTGATACATTGTCTATCGCCAAAAAAATGTAAAACCGTGGAGAGACACTAATTCAAGTTACGACTTTTTTGATAGTACCAATTTGATCTCTATAGAAACTTATTTTATAATAAAAATATATCAGTCTAAATTTAACTAAAAAAAAAAACCCATATTATTAAATATTCTTTTAATTAAATAGATAATTTGTACATTTATATATTGGAATTGTTATGGTAAAAAATACAATACTCTTTTAAAGTTTTTATTGACATCATTTATTTATTCATTTCTTCCTTTTTCAGTATATTTTCGTGGTTATGGCTGTCCTAGGGTTAGAAGCAGGAGTTGGCATATTGGCTAGATTGCACGAGGAGCAAGTCGGCCCGGAGCTAAAGGATACTCTGAACCGCACTTTCCTGGAATATTACTCTGTGAGTTCTCGAGAAACCGCAGCAATTGACAGAATGCAGATTGAAGTAAGTATATATACATAGAAATAGTTTTATCATATTGATTAATGTAATAAAATACCTTTACTTAAATATATAATGAGTATATTTTTTATCAAATACTACAGGTTTTTTATTAAATACTTGAAAGTATGAAAAAATTTACAAGAAAGAATTCTTCAGTATTTTTAAGTTTTATTTCTTACTGTGAGAAATTTTTTAATAACACTTCTTAAGAATTCAGCAAACATCTTACTAAAAGAACAATTACACTTTTTTTTTGTCAAACACAGCATTTACTTTTTGGCCTTCCTCGCCTGTACAAACAATACGTTTATCCTTTAAAAATCAAATATAGCCATTTGTTATCGAATATGTTCAAGAATTGCACACATGAAGTTATTAAAAGTCACCAGATGTTGTCAACATTTTTTTTCCATGATTTTGTCAATAAGTCACTGCTTATTGTTATTTTCTAACTGATTATTCTTTATTAATAACTGTTAATACAAAATATATAAATAAAAATAAGCTATGGCGCGTGCCAAAAGAGATGAAAAACTTAAAAAAGTTTTCGGGATATTCTTTATAGTCAATTGTTTCTCGAATTTTTTTTTGTCAATTTTACAAATTAACTTGTTTATTTCACTTATCAAGTTTAGATTCTTAAATACACTACCAGCCCATAATATTTTGCTCTGCTACAGCTACTAGTATTGCATTAAAGAATGTACGCACTTGATTTAAAAATAAAATATTCATATAATATGTTCAAAACAAGAGAATGGCTAAATTGGGGGAGTTCTATTTTAAAACTTAATTTACTGATATGAATTGGTATACTGATTATTATTAATGAATTTAAAACCAATAAAATTACTTGCGATTGTATCAATCTATGGTACAATCAATTGAAAATTGATAGAGCTTGAAATTCTTACAAGTTGAAATTATTGAGTGATAAAAATAACAACACAAAGGAGAAAATCAAAGTAATAGCTTTTCTCGAATTAACAAGTGAGAGTTGGATTTAGCGGGTATTGATTTTGCTGTAAATGTTTTCTTAATTGTTTGGTTCTTCTATCGAGTGTAACTTTCTGTTAGATTATAAACTAATCTACTGTTAAATGACTTTATTGGTAAACTAGTTATCCTTGAATTTTTCTATTTTTAATAGATTTATTTTTCAATAGGTTGATTTGTTAGTTAATCTGTGCTTAAATACGTATGTTCTTGAATATTTTTCATCTTGAATGAGGTTTTTTCGATAACTTTATTATGCATAGATATAGTTCAAAGAATTTTGACTATTTGCTTATCATTATACAAATATCAATGCCGTCATCTTCAAAAAATTAATTAATACGATAGAAATAAAAAAATCGGGGTAAAAACAATAACTTCCCAATTTTTTGACATTATTGATTTTCATAGCGGAAAGTTAAAAATATCAACATAATAAAAAAAACCTTGGCGGTCTTTGTAAAATCTGAAACTTTGTAAATATGATAATTTTAAAAAAAATCCAGTATATAATAAATAAGTATATTTTTAGTTGATTTCATAGAAATCTAACTATTGCATTGGTCCTCATGATGGAACTTTTGAAAAATTTTGCTATATTTCGACTTAGCTTGTCACGCGGATTCAGAAAATAATCGGCATTGTCTCTTCTCTAACTGCCGTAATTCTATACGGATCTCAATAACACGTAACATACTTATTCTCAGGACGATTCCTGAGGTTAAGTTCTAAGATGAGCCAAATCTGTCGATTAATTTAGAAATGAGAGCAGTTCAAAAATTTTCAAAAATCGCAAAAAATTTTTGCTTTTACCTTATTACCGTGCAATAACAATGGGACGCGACATCCTATTGGATTTCTGTAAATTGCATTTAAAAGCTTATTTAATAAGCTTCAATTTGTATACTTATTTATTCTTTCAAATTAAATAGTTTATTAGGAATAATAGCAATTCAAAAATTTTCAAGTCGTAAAAATTTTAACTTTTACCGTATTTCCGTGCAATTACAATTGAACGCGATATCTTATCAAAATTCTATAAATGGCATCTGAAAGCTTATTAAATAAGCTTTAATTTGTGTACCTTAATTATCAGTCTAGACCAAAAATTACCTACTGTCTCAGACAGATTTAATGAAATTTTACTTTTGCATTCGTTTTGACGTCATTGTTGTTTAACGTAATAATAAAATTTTTTTTTTCGTATGCAACCCTATTAGTATTTTTTTTTATTCATCATGAAATCTACTTCCATTTCGACTGCCGAATGGCCTTTTTTTTCTTATAGCTATATTTGTCGATAGGATTTTAAGCGTTGAAAATATGAATGTAATTCGGTTTCATTCAATTATGCTTAATAATACAATAGAAAATGGTTAAAAATTCCTGGGCATTTTACAAAATAAAAAAAAACTAATGTTAGCAATTGATGACTTCCTAATACATCATTAAATTTTTAATTATTCTATATAATTAAATAACAATGATCAAGTAAAAATAATCCTATATGCAAAGAATTTTTTACATTAAATAATCAAAGCTTATAAATAGAAAACAAAATTAATTTTTTTATTTTTCTAATTTATGTCCCGCTTTTATATTGTTGTCCTGAACATCATTCATAATCACTAAAATATCAAAAAAATTATTTTCATAGATCCACAAAAATATAACTTTCTTAATACATTAAATTTTATTTTTGGGACGGACAATATTAAATATTACATATGATTATAGTTCAGATGCTGTGGAGCAAGAAGATTCGAGGATTGGTTAGCGAGCGAATGGTTCAAAGATGAACAAGTACAGCGTGATGGAAGCTTAGTACCTGATAGTTGTTGCAAAACACCCACACTACTCTGTGGAAGACGAGATCATCCATCTAATATTCAATACACGGTAAATTTATATGCGTCATAATAATAATAATAATAATAATAATAATAATATTACTCTTACTTTTACTTTTACTTTTAATGCACTGATAGAAGAATTTATTTGTACCAAAAAATATTTGTTAATAGTTAACAAATCATTTATTAGAGACCATTTTTTAGTATTAAACAAATATTTCTTAGTATTTAAAATGATTTGTTTGTATTTAATAAATCTGATATTCATTTATTAAATACTAATAAATCTTTTTAAATAAGGTCAAGTACCCAGTAGTTGAATAGATTTCAAAGTAAAACGTATTTGACCCTACTTTTAATATATAAAGATGTAATTATTAGTTCAAATTAGTGATTTTCATGAAAATATAAACAATTTTGAATTGATTGAAGTGCAAAATAACGCAAATAATTAAATATTTATAATTTGACAATGTTTTTAAGATAGGCTATGAAAGGAGTAGTAGTTGAACAATCAATTCTGACAAGCCGCAGTAATTGAACACTCCGGGAGCAGTAGTTGAACTAATAAAATATATGGCAATAGACACACGAAAAATTTTTAACGTTTTATTGAAATATTCAAAGATTTATAGCATATTATTGAATATTATTAAAAATAATACTGTGGATATTTAATATGTTCATTTAAAAATGAGAAACATTTTTATTTGATTTTTTAATTACATTTTTTATGAATGACAAAGTAAATTTTCAATTATAAATCAAAAAAACTCAATTCAAAACGTTCAATAATTTTACTATAATAATTTTTAGTTATAAAACTTATTTAATTTACAGTAATTAATACAAATCACAATACTGATCACTAGTACTATAAACCTATTAAGAGGCATCTACTGTACACGTATATACCAAAACCTAACACAATACAAGCGACCCTATTGTTATAACAGCAACTACTTAATAACTAATGTATCAGCCGCTTACAGCATGCTCGTATCGCGGGTAAAAGCTCTCGATAATACGATATAAAATAAATTAACACATTATTATTAGTACTGTAAATGTAATACTCTAAATTCATTTGTTTATTTATTTATTTTAACCACGGCCTCTTACTCGCTCGCTCATAATTAAATAGGCAGGACTCTTACTTACTCTTTATTATTATCACATTGTAACAAGAAAAGAGGAAAGAGGTCGGAACAATGAACTTGTGTTTTATGTTGTGTGATACAGCCCGATACTAATGTATAAGGCTTAAGCGTATAAATCTTTTCATACATGTTCATGCTAATATACTGGTATATGTCGCAATATTGTTATTCAATTTAATTAATTGTATGCTAATTTAACATTAACTCTCGGTGATTATTTTTTTAATTAATCTATAGATATTTTTTACTGCTTGTCCATATGAAAAATTTTTTTTCAAGCCATTTATGATCAAGTCAGATATAAAATATTATTAAAAAATAGAAAATTTTTTTACTTTAATTTTAATTTAACGCAAAATTTATTGCAATAGTTGCCTTTTTGGTTGAGCCGAGCTATGACAAATAAATATGACAGATGTAAGGTTATAATCGACGTTCAGTTCATAAAACAAGAGAGCGCATGAATATATTATAAATTAATTTATTTTTTCAAATAAATACGACTTATAATTTTTAATGAGATACTTTTAAGTCCAAAAAATTATGTCACCATCTTAGTCGACTTTTGGCCTTCGAACATTTAGAGTGAAAATTGTAGATCAAAAACAGTATAAGATTTCATATTGAATTTGAAAACAATAACATAAAGTCCATCTACAAATTAACTAGACTAAAAACCGATCAAACTTTTAAAACTTTTTAGTTTCATTAGATTAGAAACAGCATAAAATATTCATAGCTGCTCAATTATTTTACTAAAAAGTTATTTAGACTTAAAACAGATCAAAAATAATTTGAATAGTAGATCAAATACAGATGAAAATGTTTTTAAAAGTTCAAATACAGATCATTTAGCTTAAAATCAGTTTAAATTTTTCGACCCGGGGTCTTTGCAAAAAATATGTATTATTTAGAAAAGACTATTTCATTGGGTGGTACAATTTTTTTCACTTAAAATGATGATATACCGTTTTTTTTACTGATTGTTCGGTTTACGGCTTAGTAACTTTTTCATGAAAAAAATAGCATCTATCGGTTATTCTCGACATGTCAACTTTAAAGTTAACAAAAATGTAATTGTTTTGATTTATAATTGAAAAAACTTACCAAAATCAATTACTGTATCATTGAATAATTATAACATGCGCATATTACTGATAATATATATACAGATTTTGTATTACAACAATTCTAAAAGTCTGTTCAACTACTGGTCCCATTTTTAGAAGTGTTCAAGTACTGGGTACTTTACCTTACTAAGAAATATTTATTAAGGACTATAAAGTGGTCTCTAATAAATGATTTGTTAAATATTAACAAATATTTTTAACTATAAACAAATCCTTCTATCAGTGTACTTGAGACGATTATATGTAAAATGAACACAAAGTAACAAAATTTGATATATAATTATGCTTATTTAAATAATTAAAGGGATGCATATATAAGTTTTTGGAGACGACAAAGGAACACCTGATTATCTTGGGAGCTGTCGGTCTCGGATTATCTGTTCTTGAAGTCTTCGGAATAATTCTTGGTTCCTGCCTTTATATAAAGTTACGGCATGATTTTGATGACTGAGAATTACTTTACTATGAAGACAACAATAACAGTCAAACCTGGTGCAGGTATGCACAACATCATGTTTGACAAGAAGCACCCGCGTAACGAAGAGATATCAATCTAACAGAAGACCGAGAAATATGAAGATAGTGACAGTTTCTCGAAAAACTAACAATGATATCTCATCCGTTACGTATAACGTCGGAGAGTGAATAAAACACATCCGAATATGAATGATCGATTGCTAAACTAGTTGAACATGTTTTTATTGATATGACTATGTACTATGCTAACACGGTGTTCATAAAATTTATTATTACTATTAATATTAATGTGTAATAAATAAAAAAAGGTGCTATCACCACTAAATTTACTCATCTATTCAAAGAAGACTATAATTTCTTTTCAACAGTGAAAACTTGATGAGTGAATTTAGTATGAAAATTGTAATTTAAAAAATAATCTCTATTTGTCCATGTAAAGTATTCGCTTCGAGAGCAATAGAGTCAGAGAGAACTAGGGTCAGAGGTAACAATTTTAAGAACTTCACTCTGAAAAAATTACATATAAATTTCGATAATATATGACTTCTGCCTGAAAAAAAAGGAACTTTATGACTGATTAAAGATGAAGGCAGACACTAATAAATAAATACACTATTAAAATATGTGTGTTAGTTGAGATCGGAGCGAATTGACTTGAATTTTCATGACCGGAAATTAAAAGAGCTTGGAGCTTAAAATAGTCGCATTAAATTTGTATAAATATCCACGAAATTGTGTTCTGTTTATAAGTAACGATTAATAATTAGAAAACAAAAAATAAATTGAAATTAAATTATTATATACTGTAAATTAGGAAGAAAATTAAATAGTAGTTTGTAAAATAGCTTTGTTAGTTAAATATAGAATTTGTAATCTATGAAAAATTATTGATGCATAATCTACACAGAACACGAAGATTAATGCGATTAAAATTTTAATTCATATGAATACAAAGAAATTATGATAGATTTTGCGATTAGTATTTTTTAAAAAATGATGTTTTATCAAGTATAAAAATGAATTTTGAATTTTATGTTTGGAATAAATGGAAAAAATATAAATACTTATAAAAAAATTCAATGGAATCGAACATCGCAAAGTAAATGTATTGAAAATAAAAGCTAAATGATGATAAGTAATTATATTGCTCTAGTTGGTAAAAGAAGTGAATGTTTTTTTGCTGTCGGCTAGTTTAACAACAAGCAAAATATTTTTTCAAACACTATATTAAAATCTTACAATTTATTCCTTAGTATAGCATGTATTATAAAATCGCAATCATATTTATTTATTATATAAAATAATACTCGTATTTATATCTAATATAAAAAAGCTTTATTGTAAACCAAACGTAATTAACGAAAGATCAGTGAGTTACATTCTATTTGTATGATATTTATAAAATATTTGAATTTGGAGGACCATTAAAAAGGGTACATGGATTCTCTAATAATGAATAATAAGAATAATCAATGGTTTTTTATAACCATAATAATTGACGTAAAAAAAAATAATAATGTATATATTGATACAGCCGACCGATCAGTGCCTTGATAAAGAAAAATGAATTAATATAAATTATTTGTTATTTATTAGATTATTTTTATTAAAAAATTATCACTCATACAAATTTACTGTAAAAAAGTTGGCTTTTTAAATTTTAAATTTATATAAAAATATAAGTTGCACTTTTAATAATAAGTAAATTTTTTTCATACAATGTAGCTGGATAATAGTATACGTTAGTTATAAAATTGTCTCAATACAAAACAGTATTTCTTTGAATAATATTTTTTAGTAAGTTCTTTTTACAGCTTTAATGAGGCTTTTTATGAATAAATTTTGAAATATTTCTATGTATTTTTAGTCATAACAATAACTACAACTTTTACAAAAAAAAAAAAGGAAATAACTATTGTTGTTTAAAACTTTTAATATCGTAAATTTTTTATGACGTTTATTGTTTTATATTTATGGTAATAATTATATTTACGTGATAATAATAATTATTTCTCCATTATGTTGTTATACATTATATGCATATTAAAAAATATTGTACATATCAAACGATATTCTATTATAAATAAATAAAGCACTGTAATAAGTGCATAATGCTGATTTAAAGTTTATTTTATTTTACTTTAGTATGTTTAAAGATAAATTTTTGAATATTTCTTTTTATTTTAAGATTATATCTATATAAATTATTGATTAAATTTATATGACAATAGCCCTGACGAAATATGCGTAAATTTTTGTATTTACAAATCCCTTATTAAAAAAAAAAAGATTTGAAAAAATTCAACACATGCAAAATGTATATCTATATATTCGTCAAATTAAATCTTTTTAATCTCTTTGAGCCATTTTGAATCTTTTCAAATCTCTTTTTCTTATCAGGGATTTTATTTCTTCATATAATTTAAAATTTTTTTCAATTTCTTATTTAATGCAATATTTCAAGCTGAATTTGATTTTTGAACTAGATTTAAAGAAAAAAAAATCAGTAAAACAGTTGACCGTAGTGTCAACAGACCATCTCTGCAACTTAACGCTAGTTTCAAATGCAAACCGCTCTAAATTTCACCTATTACAACGTTTGTGAAATCCTTGAGCTCAAAAACACGGTTTTACAGCTATTGTAAGCTCTCCAAGTTCAAAAATATAACTTTTATACGCCGTTGAGCTCTTCGAGCGGATCAACTGATTCCAACGTGATTGGTGACATTGAGTGTGATTAATAGAGCTCTACTAAAATTGTCGGAATCAAATTGTTGGTAAAAATCCTCAATTTTCAAAAAGCACAACATTCAATAATGGATCTGATGTTGTATCATTTTCTTTGTGTAATTGTCACTCGGATTGTGTTGAGAATGGATTTTTAATACCATTCAAACCGATTTGGACCAGTAGAATTTCAAAAATCTCAAAACCTTCAATAAAAGGTTTTTTCTTATCATTTTGAACAAATAAAATGATCAATTCCAAAACCTAATTAGCTTTGAAACTTAAAAAAAGGATGTCGATTGCAGCGAATCGCATTGCATATATACTTATTAAAATTTTAAATGTAATTTAATGAACAAAAAGGCAGACTTCAAAAGTATTCACTTCAAATAAAAATTATTTTAATTTCAATTACTCAAGGAATTATTTAATTATATGATACATTGATGTTGTGATAGAGCTTTATAATATTTTTTACACTGGCATTCATTATCAACACAAACAGAATTCGTAATAGCACACGGTTCATTTTTCCAACAAAATCCACCTAAAATTGGTGCACATCTTGAAGAATTCAATTCAGAATTGTTGGGCCTACATATACATCTTTTCTCATTTTTTGAACACATGGCGTGAGTTACTTCAGCACAATCTTTATCTATTTCACAGGGACTTCCCAACGTTGCTTATAAACAAAAAAAAAGTTCAATTTTTACAGTTCAGTAAATAATTTTATTATTATATGAAATTGAAAATTATTTTTGTCGGAAAATTCTCACCTGGAATACACTGGTCATTAAATTTCGGTACGAGGCCACTTTTACATTGACATTTTTTGTCAACACAAAAAGAATTTTGCGGTCGGCATTCGCTGCTAATCTGACAAGTCTCACCTAATAATGTTTTGCCATCATAAACTCCTATAATTTTTTCATTTTGTTTTGACAAACAATTTTTGATGTAGGCAATATTATTAAGTTATAAATGATACCCAAATTAGCAGAGATCTGACAATCTTGGAATTTTTATAACAAATTAAGGGGGGAAATACGTGTACAAGCTTAAAAAAATTCAATTTTTTTTAAATCGCTTTTAAAACTATTCAAAAATATAGATTGAAAATTTCAAGTAAAAATTTCTATTTGTTCAAAAGTTATAAGCGATTTAGTAATTACTTTAATACTATTTTACATTGACTTTTTTTTCAAATACGTTTTTTTCGAAACGAGTTTTTTCAAAACTGTGTGCAGTCTAGCTCAGAGAGTTTTAAACCAGTCTTCTTGCGATATGGCTTATAATTTTCTTTATACAATTACCTTGAACATGAACCTCAATCGAAAGCGATATTTTTATTTAAACTATTTTTTTTAATAAACAATGTATGAAAAAGTGGTAAAAAATCACGACTTAATTTCATAGCTCTCTAAAAAATGCAAATTTTTACTTTTTTTTTTCGAATTGAGGTTCATATGGAAGATACACATATAAATGAAGTAATTTTTCTGTGCCATTGATTTCCAATTAAAATTGTGGCTTCCATACTGCACACAGACTGTTAAGTCGGATGACAACCTGCGACGAGTATCAGCTAATATATCCGCTATTTGTTAACTTATATTGTTTAATACAAAAAAATACTCATAAATATATGTATAAAATAACCTGATAGTTTCAATAAATAATATTAATTTTTTATATCTTAAAAAATCAATGAAAATCAGCATGAAAACGGCCTTCTGCACGTATTTCCCCCCTTAATGACTATAAAAAAAATATTTTTAAATTAAAAAAAAACGCACTTATAATTTCTTAAAATTTCTGCAAATGGTAATTATTTATATATTTTTTTCCATTATAATTTAATTGCTATAAAAATCTAAAAAATTGTCAGATGTCTATTAAATTCAGTATTAATAATACTCTTTTGACATGTTTACCTTCAGAGCATTCGAATTTAGATTGAAAAGAAAAACCAACTTGGCATCGACATGTGTTATTAGCACATATAGAATTATTAACAGCGCATTTTTCATTTTTCCAACAAAATCCTCCTAAAAGTGGTGCACATTTTATATCATCTAACGGAATAGTATCGTCTCGACAAACACATTCTTTATCTTTTGAACATTTAGCATGCCTTATTTTGTAACAGTCTTCATCTAGTTCACAAAAGGTCCTCAGTTCTATTAATTTAATAAAAAAATTGCAATAAAATAGTAACAATTAAAAATTTTCACTAAAAAAAATTTTTTTAATTGATCATAAATAAATGAATATTCTGATAGATCAATTTCGAGATCTAATGAATCATTGTGCAATTAGATATGATTAGGAAAAATTTTTTTCTTTTTGTAATTTATCTGCTATTTAAATCTTAACCAACTTGGTACACATTGAAGATTAGACTCGTCCGCTCTGAAATTTAAATCACACAGGCATTTATCAAATATGCAAATGGTATTTTCCGGTAAGCAATCACTATGTCGCCAACAAAATCCGCCTATTAATGATATACATGTTGCGTTATTAACTGTTTGATGGTTTGGCCTACAAATACATCTTTTGTCTTTAGAGCACATAGCACGGTCGGTGTCATAACAATCTGATTTTTTTTCACATGTCTGATTAAAATATGCTGTAAATTAAAGACACATTGAAAAATATTTACATATCAATTTAAATTTAAGATTAACAAATCAATAGTCAAATTATCCATACATAAAACACAATGTAATTTATCAAGTGAAGGTAAAAATGATGGTTTGCATCGACACTTATTTTGTATACAAAGCGTATCTATTGGTGAACAATCATGATCATTGTCACAATATCCATCTATTAATGACAGACACATACCATTTTTGGAAATACTGTTTTTTCGACAGGTACAAGTATTATTTTCTGAACACATTGCACGATTTATGTCGTAACAGTCTTTATCTTCTTGACATGGTAACTCCAAAAAAACTAAAATATAAAAAAAAAAAAGATAATTTTGCTAAATTTTCGTAGAAATATAATTAATTATTTATTGTCCTGGAATATTAAGACATATATGGCAAGTACAAAATAGGATAATTTTAAGTACTTACTTGTAATACATTCTCTATCAGATATTGGTTTAAAGTTATGCTCGCATTCGCAAAAATCGTTTAAACAGACAGAATTAAATGGTAAACAATCACTATCTGTGTCACAATTTCCGCCTATAATGGACTGACATGAACCGTCTCGTGTAATATAATTTTTATCGCAAGTGCATTTTTGACTGTCTTTAGAACAGACTGAGTAATTGTCATAACAATCATAGTCTTCATAACATTTCATATCTAAGCCAGCTAAAAAAAATTAATAAAGAATATCATTGTATAGTCTTCAAGCTTAATTTTTAAGATATAATGTGAATTCCGTAAAAAAAAAATAACTTTTACACTGAGAGAAAAAATTTCTTTTCAGAAAAATTAGCATTGTTGTGACAAAAAATTAATTTGTTAAAAATATTCAAAATTTTGTTTCTTAGGTGAAGAAATCAAATTTTTTCTCACAGTGCCTTTCTTGTTGAAAAAAAGTTTTTTATATTTGGGAAAAAACGATTTTGTAAATATTCGCAAGTCTATCTAAAATTGTTTTTTAACTCTCAGCTAAGAATATCGATGGTTTTCAAAAAGTCGGGAAATTATTGTTTTCATCCCGATATTCAAAAATTGAGTTTTTTCAGATCTTCACGTTTTCAGGTTCTAGTAAACAATTCTTTTCCTACGAGGATGTGTGTGTGTGTGTGTGTGTGTGTAACAGTCTCATAAATATTGAATAATTTGAACGAACTTGGCGGCGTTGGAAAGGGCTTTACCAAACATAGATTTTTTATATAATTTAAACCGATTTATATCAGTGGATTTTGAGAAATCTCAAAAATAAAATTTTTGAAAAAACATTTTTTTTGAATAACTTTTAAATAGATGTAATGATTAATTCCAAAATCTAATCAGCTCTTAAACTAAAAAAATGACGTTGATTGCTGCAAACCGTATCAAAATCAGTTGATGTGAAGAGAAACCGTTAACGAAAAATTTCTAAAAAAGTTTTTTCCTACATAATTTTGATATTTCTTCTTGAATCGTTTTTTGATGTAAGAAAGTAAATATTAGAGCTTAAAAAACTACTTCGAACGCCGACAATTAAAACTTCGGAATAAATAATTTCTCAAGCGTGTCGTACATAGCGGGACGTTCCACGGATGGTCAACCGTTTTCCAGATTTTTTTAATGACTTTTAATAAATTTAATGCAAGTACATAAAAAAATACGCAATGCTTATTGAACATACCCTGGTTTATGCAATAATGTTCTGATAACGATTCTATTTTGGTGCATTCGTGATTTTCTTCACAACATGGGGTAAAATGATCAGGATCACACTGTTAAAAAAAAGAAATTGTAAAATATAAATAGATATAAAATTTTATTGTTTACGAACCTCAATAAATGAAAAAAAAAATGTTCACAATTACAAGTTTTGCAATAAAAATTAATTTGCTTATTAAATACTTACCAATTCGAGATAATATCTACACTCGTAATCTGAACTGCTTTCCCGGGTCTTTCTTATGTAAGCATGTACTAGTGAAACTCCAATGATGGTTATAAATAAGAATTTAAGTAACATTGTTTTCTTTTCTGACATAGAATCATATTTCAATAAATGGAAAATAATTATTGAATAATTTAAAATTGTCTATTATTTATCATTATATTTACCCTAGTCACAGAAATTAACGTATTCAAAAAATTCCAAATTCTTGGCTGTAACTCAAAGAAAAATAGCTGTACAAGAAATTTTAAAAAAGCAAATAGGAATATTGAGTTTTTAGATTTTGCCACCACTCCCCTTAAAATTTAAAGTCGAAAAACGGATAAAAGATAAAAAAGTACTCTTAACGTGATTGCTCGCCTAAGTAAATCATTCTACATGCAAAAATGCAGCACTTTTAAACAGTCAGGGTTTTTCCGAGGAACTTTGACATTGAACAATTACCGAAGATGTTCCTTGTTCATTCATATGCAAATTTTTTAATTTTTTTTAGTCGACATTTTCGCTTCAAAAATGATTTTTTCATGAAAAACCACTAACAGTGCCTCATTGGAGATATTTAGCAGTTTTTAAAACTCTTCTACTTCCATAGCCTGTTCGATCATTATTTCTCAAATTATTGATTGTCAAAGTCCAAAGGGACTTTTTTGATTTAATCAGTGACAATTCCGCATCAAGTCATCATACAGATTTTATGATTAAAAAAAAAATTTAAGGGTATTAAATTTCCTAAAAGAGCGTTGTAGTGAAATCATAAAAAAAATTTTTACGCGAAAAAATTTGAATAATTTTTTATTTTAACACCGTGCGTGTTCGAAATTTTTACCATGTTTGTTAAAAACTAAACACTCAACGCTATTATTTACTTCTTTCAGTTTTGTAGCACGACCATTTTTTTCCAAGTTATAGCCAATTTAAAATTACCCAAAAATTTGGAGTTTTTTAGTAGATTTCATAAAAATCTAACTACTTATGATGATAGCGTCAACAATTCTTAAGTGGTCCTAATGAAACTTAACTAACTTATTTTATAGACGATTACGAAGGTCAAGTTCAAGTATGAACTTAATCGGTCAATTAGTTTAGAAATTGCAGCATTTAAAAATTTTGAAAGTTTCATACTCTCACAACTTCTTCTTCAAATAACTTTTGAACGCGTCGAGAAATTCGATTTCTGTAAAATGCATTTGAAAGCTGAGAGGTAAAGCTTCAATTTACATGTTTTTCTAAATCAAAAAATATCCATCTTAGAATAATTTTTCAGAAATTTTACTCTTGCAGTCATTTTGTCCATAGAAATGAAATAAAATTAAATCTACTTCCATTTTGGATGGCCTTATTCAATATCTTTTCATTTTCGTGACTAGTGTATATTAACCAAAAGCTGACCTCACAATAATGTAATTTCAAACTTACCTTAACACTCACAAATTCATCAATTATAATTTTTAATTCTGTAACATGAAATAGTCTTTACGTACTCTGCTACTTCAGATTCAACTTTCAATTACAAATTATTTGTTAACTGTAAGATATTTTTAGTGTACTTATAAATAAATCATTTAAGTAACGGGCTTATTTTATCGTAATCACTTTCAATTAACTTTTAATGATTTAAAAAAAAAACCCGATAAGTTTAATGGTTTATTAGAAAGATTTCTTTTATGTCTGACACCCATGTAACTAAAAATTGAAAAATAAAATCAATATTTTGAACAAAAATTTAATTTTTTATAGATTTACTGACTTATTTTAAGTAAGGGAAGAAATATTTTAAACATATTTTATTAAATGTATACAATCTTTGATCTGTAATCATCAAATTTATGGCGCCTATGTATTTATTAATAAAACTATAATTAAATTTTTGTTCTCTATACAGTTTAGAAATAAGTTGGCCCAGTCGTTTATTGTTAGATGTTGATCGAAATATTGACTCACAGAAAATATCTATATCCTCGAATTAAAACATGTCATTAACTAGGAATAATAATAATAATCTATATTAATGAGAGAATAAGCAAAATTTTATGGCCAGTGTATTTATATGATAAAATAGGTTTTCATGGTTAAATCTGGTATCGTTGAAAAAGTCTCGACCTGAAGTTGTGCCTTTTCAAGGATTCATATCATTCTCACCAATAGTCAATTTATGATGATAAGTATTTAGGCTACATTCGAAAATGCTCTATCTCTAGATACATAATTAAGAAATGACCTTGTATCTTGTGAACTATTGACATTTTTAAAGATATTAGCTCATCCCGACATTACACTCATCGAGCCCTTTCATTTGAGTACCCACATCAATTTTTCATATATTTCATATATATGTACATATGAAAAATATATAAAAATGCATGTGGGTACTCAAATGAAAGCTCTTGATAAGTGTAACATCGTGATGAGCTTATACCTTTAAAAATGTCAATAGTTAAGAAAGTACAGAGCAATTTAACATAATTAAGAAATGACCTTGTATCTTGTGATATATTGTCATTTTTAAAGATATAAGCTCATCCTGATGTTACACTCATCAAGACCTTTCATTTAAGTACCCACATCAATATTTATCAATTTTTCATATATTAATATATATTATATATATGTATATATTGAAAAATATATCAAAATGCATGTGGGTACTCAAATGAAAACTCTTGATGAGTATAACATTGGGATCAGCTTATATTTTTAAAATATATATTATACATATGTATATATGAAAAATATATCAAAATGCATGTGGGTACTCAAATGAAATCTTTTGATGACTGTAACATCGGGATGAGCTTATATCTTTAAGAACCTCAATAGTTAAGAAATTACAGTGCAATTTAACAAAAGTCATTATTTAATAAAGCAAAATTTTATTTATTTATAGTTCACAAGTCACGGCAGTCATGTAATGACTGCAAGGTTGCTAGTTTGGTATTAAAAGAATTGTACGCTAATTTTTCAATTTTATATTTTTTTTTATTAATATTGTCCAGCAATTTATGCGATGTTTGTTTTCCGTAATTACAATGTTTATTCAATAGTATAATGTTTATAAAGTTAAATGATTAAAAAATTTCCATTAACAAATAAAATAATTACAATTAATTGTTAATGATTAGTATGTACTATTAATTACTCCAATTTGATGTTCCATCTAAGAAATTACTATTAATTAATAAAAAAATATCAGATTGAGAACTATTAAACTGTTCAAGTAGAAACATTACTAACAAAAATATATAAAATCCTTTTTCTAATATCCTACAATAGTAAAATCTATTTATATTAATACATACTCATTTAATATCAAACAAGTAAAGACCGATGTGCATAATAATATAATTGATTATTCAATAATGTGCACAAATCGAATTTTTATGTTAATTGGCATTAATTTATTAATATCTAAAAATTGATCTATCGTTTAATTCTAAGTACTCCATTTAAATAATGAAGTTTTTATTCCGATTCATTATAAAAAAAACCTATTCACCTCTTATCAATAAAATTTTATAAGAATGCAATTTCTCAATACAAGTTACCTTACTTGAGAATTTTAAATATTGTTAACTAAAATTCATGAACCAAATTCTTCCGTATTAGGCTCAATTGGTTTAAATTCATAAGATCCTCGACCATCCATTAACAAGTAATACTAAAACAAAAGTAATAATACGTAAATGAAATTATTGTGACTTTTTAATTCAATTGCAGTAGTAATTAGAGATGATTAAAAAAATTTTTTTACCTCATGATGTTTCCACAACGAACGTCTATGAGATACAGTGAACAATGAAATGTTTGCTTGCCGACAATAAGAGTACATTGAATCTTCAACATCTACGCTTACTGCGCTCGTACATTCATCTAAGATTGCGAATTGTGGCTTGTGGTAAAATAATCTGGCCATCTAAAAATTGCAATTATTTTTGTCATAATTATGGTTATCACAACTTTTTATTAAGGTAGTTGGGGCCTGTAAGGCATATTTCAAGAAAATGATGAAATTTTTTTTATCGAAAGATAAATATATTAATAATTCACCATCAAAATTTCAAATCAATTCACTACACCGTAGAGGTATAGAGAAATGGTAAAGTTAGTATGAAATTATTTGCATCACTCGAGTGGTACGGAAAATTTCATACTAACTTTACCATCTCTCTCTTTACCTCTACGTGTAAAAGATGCAATTTCGAAAATTTATTACTTAAAAACGGTGTGATGAACTAATCTGAAATTTTGGTGGTGAATTATTAATATCTATACTAATAAATGGAGAGCCGGTTTTTTTGTCCGGTTATACTGCAAAATCTACTGAACCGATCGAAATAATACTTATATACCATAAGATGCAGCATGTTTCGGAGAAGGTTTTAGTATATGATGATTTGATGGTGTGATTACTTATCCGGAACCTATATTTTTTTGGATTAAAAATAATGAATTTTTATTGTAACTAAATTTATTCTATTCGATTGTCATTTGTTTAAAATAAATTTTTTAATTCTATTGGTTATGTTTATATACTAGGCAGATTTATTCACTTATGAGATCTGCAATTTCTTTAACTGAAACTTTCAATGCTCATTACAAATTTTTTTTTTCATATTAATTATTATTCATTGAAATGTTATAATGATTGCACATTGAAAGTTACAATGAATATTAGCTAGAATAATTACGTGGATAAAAGATGCATGCCAATTCGATAGAATTGGGAATCTGGTGCAAGTCAAAACAATACTCTAATTAAATTTCAAGTCTAGATTTAAAAATGCAATTCTATAAAGCGCCCAGCGGAGCGGGCGAGTAACAGCTAGTCTATTAATAATTCACCATCAAAATATTATTATTAATATATTAATAATTCACCACCAAAAAATTATTATCAATATATTATTAATAATTTTCTTGAAATATGCCTTACAGGCCCCAACTACATTAAAAAAAAAAAAATTAACTTACAGCTATTCGTTGTTTTTCTCCTCCAGACAATACATCCATCCAATCAGCGACCGTATTCCATCCACCTTCTCGTTCTAACAAATGACCGAGTTGTACTAAATCTAAAAACTTTTGAAGATCGTCATCACTGGCATGATTACGTCTTTGCATTTCCGCCTGAGTATGTGGGTAGATAACTTGGTCTCTTAAAGTACCTAGAGTCATATAAGGACGTTGAGGAATGTAAAAGAGCTTAGTACTCGGTGGCTTGGTAACCGTTCCGCCCCATACAGGCCATAACTGAAACATCATTAATTAAAATGTAAATTAATTGATTAGTAATGATAATGAATGTAAAATAATAATTCAAAAAATACTGACCTCGCCAAGCACTCGGAACAATGAACTTTTACCACAACCGTTTGGTCCACAAACTAGCACATTCATTCCCGATTTAACTTCAAATGTAAGATCATTAATTAGTACATCGCCGTTAGGTGTAACTAACGGTACATGATCAAAGCAAATGACATTATCCTTGTGAATTATTTTTCCTGATCCCGCTTCACCGATTGAAAAATTTTCAGCATCTGCGATCATAGTCCTTGTGTATTTTCCTTTATTTAAATCATCAAGAACTTGACGGATTTCGGTTACACGAGCTGTAAAACCAGCTAATCGTGTCATTTCTCGACCAGCGAGAACTAATCTACCAATGGCTTCTGCCATCTTTATCAGCATTCTGCCATTCTCATAGTAATTTTTAAATCGATGATCTGGTGAGCCGGCAAGCACTGGGTGATTTTTTTGAAAGAATGGAATACTCACTGCATAAAAACCAACAACTGTTGCCACGTCTGTAAAATAATTTGTTTTTTAGATTTTCATTGTTGATTAACTATAAATTTTTAAATTATATATAAGAGTAGAGAATTTACATTTTCCAATGAAATTATCGACAACACCCATACCAACTTTGAACTCCAAAAGTGATCGAAGATGTTGGATCTGTAATTAACAGAAAAAAAAAAGAGGTAATAAGATTGTCTATAGCAGTGATTAATCATCAATAAAAATGAGTATTGAACATACAAGTTTTTGGAAGCTGGCGAACAAAGTTAATTTTTCTCGATTATTTCCACGATAGAATGCTATTTCTTCAGAGTTGGTAATGAGGCGTGAATTTATATGCCGAAATTCTCCCTCTAAACGTTGTTCTTTTACTGTCATTGAAGCTATTGGTTTCCGTAAGTGTGTAAGAAAACTACCAGCTACTAGCAAATATCCTAACATCAATAGAGGAGTCTAAAAAAAAATTATTTTTCATTCATTAATAAAACTGTGTACATTTGATTGATTAAAACAAGGAATATTAATACCTTTCCACCTAAAGATGATGTTAATCTGTATACATAAATCGAAATATCTAATATTGGCTTGGCAATATTGCTGTACAAATCTGTACAACTATCACAAAATTTGTCAATATCAGTTGTGAGTAATTGATCAGGATTGGCAATACGAGTATCCAAATTAGTCATTTTATAGTAGGTGAAACCTCTGAAAAAAATTATACAAATTTATATACACACGTATATAAAATTAACCCGTTGAGGTCATTATGGGTCTAAATGACCCAAGGCAATTTTTGAGTTGCTCTTGCTTCGGAGATATCATTCAAAATGGTACCTGTGGTACTGTCTATTATTGTTTGAAAATTTTTTGAGTAGAACCCTGGAGGTCATTTTCATTTATCTTAAAAAATAAAGTTTTTAGTAAAAAAAAAGTCAAATTTTTCAAAATTTGACTTTCTCGCATTTTTTTTTTTTTTATAATTAAACAATTAAAAAACGATTGAGTTATTCAACGGAAGTGTTAAGAATTACTCTCATGTACGGTTCGAGTGAAAATATTGACAAGAACGCAAGTAGCAACAATTTTTTCCGTGCATGGGGTCAACTAGATCCAGTATGACCACTACGTTATTTTTAAAAAGTGTGACCTCACGGGTTAAAATAAAATTTTTGATTTTTCTTAATTAAATAAATTTTTTTATAACTCCTTAAGTTATTAATTCTACTTATTAACATAATGTAATCATGAGCTTGACCTCCATTGTATTCTTAATAGCTACCCATTAATTTTTTTATATCAAAATATATACAACTAAATGATTAAAATATTCATATTTGCAAATTAACAAGCAACTAGAAGAAAAAAAATGTTCAACTTACTTGAGATATTGATCTAGCAAATGCCTTGTTATGTTAGTTCTCAACCTTAATTTCATTTCACCAATTCCATATTTTAAAATATTATTCACAATCGATATCTAGAAATTAAAAAGTAAATTTAATAGGCTGATAACCAAATCTAATTTACACATCGCATATTTAATTATGTCTTAGGATAATTATGACTAAAGATAAATTTTCTGTTTTCTATTGAAAATTATTGATTATTTATAATTAACATTTTAATGATAAGAAATAATTTTAAATCAAATAGTAATATGTTTATATTTATATTTAAATACCTTCAGAAAATATTTTTACAAGCATATACTGCAAAAAAAAAAAAATATCTTCTTGCAAAATCAAAGTTTAAAAAACGATAAGTATTAAAGGCTCTCTATATCATTTCAAAAGAATATTTAAATATACGAATATTTAAAAATTAATTTTTTTAATTTCCGTTACTAGACAATGTTAAAATATTCGTAAAATTAATAATTTCAAACAGTTTAAATACTTTGCAATATTCAAAGTACACTGAGAAAAAAAAAATACTTTTATTAAGAAAATTTACTTGATACAAGAATTTATGTTCTTGAAAATTTTCAAGAATATATATTCTTAGCTTAAGAAATTGTTAATTTAAATTAATTGAAATAATTTTTACTTAATTTAAATAAAGCTATTCTTTTGTTTATCTATTACCCAAAGATAAATATTGATGCTCTTTTCAGAAATTAATAATTAATAATAATAGAATATTTGATCGTCATCGAAATTCTAGAACCAAGAAATTGTTAATTGAGTAAAAGTATTTTTTTTTTTTTTTCAATGTAATACTTTTAATTATGTATATTTTTAGTTAAATATACTTTACAAGAATGCTAATAAAAAATTACCATTCTCTAAAATAATAAGAGTGTATTTACCATAGGCAAAGCAGCTAAAAATGTCAAAAGCCGTTTTTTGAACATTGGACCATCCATATTAACAATCGTCCTAAAATACGAATAATTAATTTAAATGACATACATAAAATAAAATTTAAAATAACATTAAAAATATACCGTACCCCTCAATAAGAGTACTAATACGAATCATCCATAGATCACATAGTGATCTTGCTACGAGTGATCCAGCGACCAATAAAATAAAGCCGGTTTCAGGTGTAAATAATCCGGGGATACCAATGGATAGCAATACACGGAGTTGTTTGAAAAAAGCAGCATTGACATGGGCTTTAGGTGGGCTTTTAGGCTTTTCCTAGAGTAAAAAATTAAAATTAATAGTTATTATTGAATTCTTGCAATCAATTACACGTAAAATTTAAAAAAATCAATTAGCACTTTAATTACCTCTTTGATGACATACTGTACATCATTCGTTGGCCACAAATCTCTATAATATTAACACGTAATGATTAAGCATTTTTTACTAGAATAAAATGACGTTAATGAACAATTACCTTGATTTTATTGAACGTTTATTTCTTTTGCGTTTAAGTAACCAAATCAATGTACTGATTGCTAATGCACCAGCGACATTTTGTTTAGTTAAAAATTTACTAGGTGCTGGAGCCATTCCTGGAGTAATATATTATACTATTATATGATGATGATAGCGGTGATGTTGCAATAAGGATGATATCGCGTTTGTTTACTAGTCGCACTCGGAGTGCGATCACGTTATAGACACATGATCATCAATAAAGAACACTGTGGTAACTGAAATAAAAATTTTTAAAAATTCCATTTACACTCAACACATAACACAGGACATAGAATAGAACATAGGACTTTGTATATCAGTTTTGTAATGTAAGATGTGGATAATAAAAAGTAGGGGTATACTTACATACTTACAAAGTAGGGGGGCAACAAAAGTAACTTTTATCTTTTTTTAACAATCTATGATCATGATAATGATTGGTATTTTTTTTTTTTTTTATTACTCTAACTAACACGTTTTTAGGCTTAATCAAGAAATTTCTCTAATGTTAAAAAAATGACCATAACCTATTTATTACAAATTTTAACTTAACGTATTATGAAATATTTAGACACGTATAAAAATGGAATCAGCTGTGATACTATACTGTGGTCAAAGTCATCTGTACTGCTTTGTGTATATACATCTATCTGACATGTATAGTAACGTACTCTCTACTCCATTCCAATGTAAATGTGCAAGTATTTATAATTATCTCAGTGTGAGTTTTTTAAACGTCAGTTACTAATGGCAATCATAATACTTATTCATATGTATAGATATAAATATAAATATTTTTAGTTGTTATTTTTTGCCAGCTCACATTTTTTTATCTACTAAACACTGGCACTGAAGAAATACAAACTTTAATTAACAATATGATATGGACAACAGTAAACAATAATGTCATTAAAGTTAGCCGACGTTCTAAATTTTTTGATTTTTTTTTTAATAATGAAATTAGAACAAAAAAAATTTTTTTTTAAATTGCACTTCCCTGACTATTTTTACGATGATGTCCGTACGTCTGTATGTATGTATGTGTGTGTGTGTAAACCTCTTGTAATTTTTGAACGACTTGACCAATTTCATCGCGGTTGGTATCATTCGAAAGGGCTTCACTAAACTTAGATTTCCTGAAAATTTGAACCGATTCGGACCGGTAGATTTCGAGAAAATGCAAAAAAAGTGAAAAGAAAAGTTGTTTTTTTTTATTTTTTTCAAATATCTCCGAATTGGCTGAACCGATCGGTCTCAAAAACTAATCAGCTCTTAACCTTGAAAACCCCCATCGATCGCCACCAAAAACGTTAGAATCGGTTGATGTGTTTGTGAGATATCGTTGTCGAACAAAATCGAAAAAAATGTTTTTTTGTAATAACTTCGAAATTCATGGCTCGATCGATTTAAACTTGAAAATTTTCCATGGAGCTTCAAAAACTGCGTCGATTGCCGCCAACCGCGTGAAAATCGGTTCATTCATTCAAAAGTTATTGCCGTTTGAAAATTCAAAAAATTGTGTCTTTAAACTGCTATTAGAGTTTTGAGCTCGAAGAGCTCAAATTGACGCAAAAATAATATTAATATTAAAATTGTGTCTTTAAACTGCTATTAGTTTTGAGCTCGAAGAGCTCAAAAACGTAATGTGTAGTTTGAAGCGTTTAAGTACAAAATGAGCGGGAAGTTGCAGGGATGGCCTTTAGGGTGAACCGTTTTTCTAATTTTTTTTTTATTTTAAAAAGAAATATTTGAAACGAAAATATAAGGAATTTAAAATGGAGAATATACTGAAATATTTTTAGGTTTTATTAATTAATAATTACAAAAAGTATATATGTACAGGTTGGACTTAATTTGCAGAAGTGAACTCGCTTGAAAGGTAATAATATTGCAAATAAGAAAAACGATTATTCCGCAATCACTAATTACCAAAGGTCAAGCAATTTGCGGTAAATCGGTTGTAACTTATCTGTACACTTGTATCGAAATGAATTATATTTTTTATCAAAAAATATACACCAATATTTGATCAAATTCTTTCTGTAATTATGAATATTTGAAGCAAAACTTAATAATTTACAATAGATTGAACTGTGTTCGAATAATGTGGTTGTTAAAAAGAAACTTCATTAAAATAATACAATATTAAAGTTCAAAAATCAAAGATTAATAGTTGTGTAATGTAATTTTTACGTAGATGAGCAATTTGAATGCGAGATGTGATAAAAATTTATCACGTTAATATTTCTATAATAAATATTTAAATTTTATTACCTTGCTTGTATTTTAACAGCTGATATGAATGAACAAAAGTGATCTTTTTATTAATTTTCCCAAATTTAAAAATTTAATCATTGCAAAAATAATAATATGAAAGACTTGAAAATTAAAAAAAAAATTATGTTCAATTTGTCAAGTTTTTTTTTACAAAAATTAAGTTTAAAATTATCGTAATTATTTACAAGTGGAGTCAACCCCATTTTGAGCCATAACTAGATGAAAAATAAAAATTAAAAAAATTTTTTTTTTTTCATTCTGCTTGTTTTTACGGCGCATTTATTATATGATAAAAAATGTCGTGAAAGGAAAAAATAAAGTTTTCGATAGCTTTTTTACCTTTAAAAGTTGGAAAAAATTTTTGCTCTCATATTTTTGGATAAAATTTCTATTTTATCTTTTTTTGATATATTTCATTTTGAAAAGTATATAAAAAAACGAACAATTTAAAAAAAAAATGGTTAATTTGATAAAAAAAAAATTTAATATGGGCTAGCATGGGTTGACCCCACTTGTAAATAATTACCAAAATTATTTGAAAATATTCTAAATTATCTCTTTTCTAGTTTCACACTCATAAATTTTATGCCAATTCTTCTAACTTGAAGAATAATTATAATTTTATTTTATTTTTATTTGCGTAGATGAAACTATTCAAAATTATAAAATATTAATAAATCTTTACTCGGTTTTTATATTTCAAATTTCAGAAGCTACTATACCACATAATTAGATAAGATTTTATATTATGACACTGAATTTAGCTGACATCTGATGATTTTTAGGATTTTTATCAACAAATAAATTATTATAAAAAAAACTTACTAAAAAATTCCTCTTGTAGATGGTTCAAAAAATTACAGATGTAATTTTTTAAAAAATGTTTTGTTAGTAGCAATTTATTTGTTGTAAAAATCAAAAAAATTACAGATGTCTGCTAATTTCATAATAATAAAGTTAGCCGACATTTTTAATTTTTTGTTTTATTTTTTTAAATTAAATTAGAACAATAAAATATTTTTAAAAAGTTGCACTTACAGTTTTTAAAGTTTTTAACAAGTGAAAATTTTTTTTTTTTATTTTTTTGTAATCATTTTTTCAATAAAAAAAATTCTAAAAATTTTTAGATGTCGGCTAACTTAATTTTCATGCTAATTTCAATTTCATTTTTATATTTATCACGTCAACCAACCCATAATACGTACTAAAGAATTGACTTAAAGAGACCTCTATACAGCATTTTTTATTTACTGTCAATTTTAGAAAAAAAAGAATATGTAAGTATATTATGTATATATATATTTATGTCGATTATATATGTAAGTACAATAATAATATACAAACACAATATAAACATACGAAACTTTCATTTTTAAATGCCATATAGTACAGTGTATGTACATATAACGTGCATAAGAAAATATTCACCATACATATAGATTGTATATACAATGTTTGGATTATTTGACGTATGCTAATGTCTGGACGTCTAGCAAAACTCTTTTTAATCCGTCCTTGTTGATAAGCAGTTAAGAAAATTATTTTTATTATTTACGAATAATATTTAGTATTTTTACAATAATAATATGGCTCAAGGTTTAAATAATATGTTTAAATAAAATCCACGGTAGCTCATTACATCTGTTATTATTTGCTCAATATAACGAATGCATGCTCGTAAATTTTTATAAAAGTTAAAGTGATAAGTTTTAATAGTTGATTATTCAAGTATTTTATTATTTCCAGGTGTGACGAGGATTTTTTTAGTGACTCAATCTAACCAGTAAACGTAAAAGGTAAAACGTATTTCAACACGCCAAAAATCATATGGAGATGACAATGTGTCAACTATATTGAATGATGAATCGTATTATTTCCATCGTCAGTCAATTGTATAGATAAAGTCCACAAAGAGAAGATTAATTTATTTGTATCGTTAAAATTATACAAAATGGTGCTTCCTGTTGTTGATACTCCTCCGGGAATAAAAGTCATCAATTTAATATCAGCAAAATGCTGCCCTCAAAGAAGAATGAATAAGTTAGCATGGCACAGAGCTGGAGTATTAGCACTTACATATTTGGCGTATACATGCTATCATATGTCAAGAAAACCAATATCTGTTGTCAAAAATGTATTAAATTTAAACTGTAGTAGCTTATCACCACCGTCTGATTTAATAATCAACGATACCAATCGTTATACCTGGTGTGACTGGGCCCCATTTAGTAAGATATTTTATTATTTATCTAAAATTACAATTAATACACTAATAACAATAATTAAACTGTTATATATTCCTTTTTAGACACGCCAGATGCTCCTTTCTTATTAGGATTCTTAGATTCAGCTTTTTTATTCGCTTACGCTGCAGCAATGTTTCTCAGGTGACAATTTCATGTAAGCTTTGATTACTTACATGTAGAAAGAATATGTTTGCGATAAAAATTTATTTTATTTTACAGCGGGTTTGTAGCTGAACGAGTTAATCTTCGATACTTTTTATCGTTGGGTATGATTGCTTCTGGAATAGCTTCATATTTATTTGGTATCGCAAAAACATATAAAATACATAATCTGTGGTATTTTATTATGGTTCAGGTAAGATAATTTTTAAGTTTTTAGTTTGAAATAATAATTATTATTATTGTGATTTAATGAATTTTTAGGCATTAGGAGGAATATTTCAAACTAGTGGATGGCCAGGTGTTGTTACAGTTGTAGGTAATTGGTTTGGCAAAGGAAAAAGAGGCCTTATATTCGGTGTATGGAATTCACATACATCGTTAGGAAACATATTAGGTAGTTTGATAGCTGCTGAGTTTGTGGAAAGAAATTGGGGCCTCAGTTTTATTGTACCTGGAATATTAATGGCTTCCGCTGGTTTTATAATATTTTTATTTCTTGCTCCTCGTCCCTATGACGTCAACTGTATATCACCGAATCCGCCAAATTTTAGAAAATTAAACGCAACAACTAGTTCCGATGAAGGAACAATTTCTGGTGATGATATTGATAGACATCGAGTGAGCGATGAAGACGTGAGTCTATTTCATCGTTATTTTCATTGCAGCTCACAAATATATTTAATGAAAAAAAATTTTTTTTTTAATCAACTAGCTTTTTTAGTAATTATTTACAAGTGGGATCAAACCTATTTTTGGCAATATCTAGGTGAAAAATAAACATTAAAAATTTTTTTATTCTGCTTATTTTTACGGCGCATTTATGATAAAAAATATCGTGAAAGAAAAAAATAAAGATTTCGATAGCTTTTTTGCCTTCAAATGTTGGAAAAAATTTTGGCTCTCATGTTTTTGGATAAAATTTCTATTTCTTCTTTTTTTGATATATTTTTTTTTTTTGAAAAGTACATAATAAACGAACAATTTAAAAAAAAAAGGTTGAATATCACAATTTTCTAAAAAATTCACAATTTTTTTGAAAATTTGTTAAAATTGTAGTATTCAACTTTTTTTTTTTAATTGTTCATTTTTTTATGTATTTTTCAAAAAAAAATAAAAATAAAAATGGTAGACCCCACTTGGAAATAATTACCGCTTTTTTTAAGCAATTTTATTTTTATTTTTTATTTATTTTATCAAATAACATTTTATAACTATTTAAAATGCTTTTAAGTAGACCATTTAACAATTTAATTTACTTTAGCAACTCATTCATCGTGTTAGTTGGCACCAGCATGGCTTTGATCCTGTAAGTGCATGAATTAACATTTTTACTTATGTTTTTTTTTATTCATCTATAAATCACCGAAGCATTGTCAAACGATAAATATAAAAAAATCATCTTATGTTGTTAAATTGACAATATTGATATTCTAAATTTATTTTCGAAGGACTTAGAGAATTCAAGATCGGAAACGAGTCCGATGTTATCGGTGAACAGACGCATGCATAACTCCAAAGAAAAAGCAATTGGATTTGTTGGTGCAATAAACATACCTGGAGTCTTGGAGTACTCTCTTTCACTTTTTTTTGCTAAACTTGTCAGCTATACATTCCTTTACTGGTTACCTCTATACATAAGTGCCTCAAGTTAGTATTTATTCAAATTCCAATGATTTACAAATTTTTATTTATTATTAATAAAATTTGGTAATTATTTACAAGTGGGGTCAACCCCATTTTGAGCCATAACTAGGTGAAAAATTAACATTTAAAAATTTTTTTTGATTCTGCTTGCTTTTACGGCGCATTTATGATAAAAAATGTCGTGAAAGAAAAAAATTAAGATTTCGATAGCTTTTTTGCCTTCGAAAGTTGGAAAAAAATTTGGCTCATGTTTTTGGATAAAATTTCTATTTTATCTTTTTTTGATGTTTTTGATATATTTTTTTTTGAAAAGTACATAAAAAAAAACGAACAATTAAAAAAAAAATCGTCTCAAAAATGTCTTAAAATTGTCGTTTGTTTAAGATCTTAAACGTGACACAAAGCAGGACTGTTTTAAGACTCTTTTGAGACGCCAAAAAAAAAAAAATTCCAAGGGCAGATTTTTGAAATTTGGTTTTTAAATTTTTTATGAAAATTAATTTTTAGATGATTTTGCAAGTTTCTTTAAAAAGATCTTAGAAAAAAATTTAGAGACTATTTTAAAATCAGTTCACAGCGACAAAACCCCGGAACATTAAAATGAAACGTCTTAAAAAAGTCTTAAAATTGTCGGATAGTAATTTTTCAACAATTTCAAATTAAATTTGAAAAGCGCGTATTCAAAAATGTTGCGGTTAAAAACTCGCAAAATCGTCTAAAAAATGTCTAAAAATTAATTTTCATAACAGATTCGAAAACCAAATTTCAAAAATCTGCTCTTGGAATTTTTTTTCTGGCGTCTTCAAAGAATCTTAAAATAGTTTTAGTTTGTGTCACGTTTAAGATCTTAAACAAACGACAATTTTAAAACGATTTTATTTTACACGGGCAATTTTCTAAAAAATTTATAGATTTTTTTGAAAATTTGTTAAAATTGTGATAATCAACTTTTTTTTTTTAAGTTCTTCATTTTTTATGTATTTTTTAAAAAATAAATATATCATTAAAATCAAATAGAAATTTCATTGAAAAAAATGAAAATTAAAATCGTTGACCCCACTTGTAAATATTAACTAAAAATTTTTTTATTTTTAGCTACTTATAGTGCCGGGTTGAGCGCTGATTTATCAACTTTGTTTGATGTCGGTGGTATAGCAGGAGCAATTGCAGCTGGAGTTTTGTCTGATTACAGTGGAATGAGTGCAGTAACGTGTGCATTCATGTTTTTGACAGCAATACCGATGGTCAGTATATATTAAGATAAAATTTCTAGCATATTTAAAAAAAACAATTATTTTTAAAACACTTTTAATTATTACACTGAGAACTCATATGTATGTGTGTATATTTTTACAGCTATTTTTATACGATTTTATTGGAAGTACAAATCTTGCTGTGAATATTACGTTGTTAATATGTACTGGTATATTAGTGAATGGTCCATATGCATTAATAACAACCGCAGTATCGGCAGAACTTGGAACACACCCTAGTCTAGGAGACGATGCAAAAGCGTTAGCAACTGTAACGGCGATTATTGATGGTACCGGAAGTATTGGGGCTGCTGTTGGTCCATTATTAGCAGGAGTTGTATCACGATGGGGAGGGTGGCACAATGTATTTTATATGTTAATGATATCCGATCTCTTAGCTTTACTATTACTATCTAGATTAGTTTATCGAGAATTAAGAAAGTATCGACAAAGACGGTTGGCCGTTTAAATGATCTTCAGAAATATCAACTTTTAATATCATATTTTCATATTCATATTAATACATATTTTAAAAATGAATGACAAAAATTTTATATTGATAGAAAATGACGTTTTATCAATGATAAAAATGTATTTTTAAAATTAATTATAAATTTATTACAACTTATAGTATATTAAATACAAATGATTTTCTGACAAAATTAATTTTCTCTTTGTTTAATTTATTTAATAATTACATCAGTTACCAATCACGGGATTCCTTCAGGTATAATATAACTTATGGTATCAGCAAATTCACCCCAAACAGCTCGCTGTGTCTGGAAAATTATAACCCATGCTAAAAGCACAGCTGCCCATATCACTGCTCCAATTCCAGAGAATATAACATCTAAAATAATTACAAATTATCTTCATTTAATTTTTTTATCCTTATAATTAGTAAATTATGATATGAGTGCAAGCAAATGTAATATGATTTGAAAAAAAATTTATACAAATAGAAACGGACAAAAACTTTTAAATTGTCCATGAATAATTTCAAACTTTTATCCGCGAATTTCTCATAACTTTTTGCTATTACATTTCTTTTTTCAGAATCATATTTAACTAAGTGTAAAGTTTATAAAAAATATCTTACATTTTCGTAATTGTTTTTGTTCTTCATAATGTGGAACCAGAAATGCTTCTTTGAAAAACCATATAGTATTCACAGCCCAAACGAATGGTAGTGCCGCAAAACCCACTGAAATTCAATATAAAGTAATCAATACATAACATATGATGAATTTTTATGACACTGAAGTTGACAGACATTAAAATTTTTTTTAGAATTTTTTAGTAATCAAATTATTATGAAAATAAGTTCATCAAAAAATTCCACATGTGAAAATTTTTAGAAGCATTTTTTAAATTGTAATTGACTTGTTGCAAAAATTAAAAAAATTGACAACTGTCAGCTGACTTCAGTATTGTGAATTATTGAATAATTAAACTTTTTTCAATGAATAATTTTACCTCTGAAATACCATTTACATAAATGTAATTTTTTGTCGTTAGGCATTTTTGATAAGTCCATGATTAAAATTATTTATAAACAATCTTTTTAAAAGCTTCTAAAATAAATAAAAATAACAATTGGATGACTGGAAAAAAAATATTTGACAGCACTATTTATTTACTATTTTTTATACACAACTTAAGATTGACAAATGCAACTGCTATATATATAAATAAGAAATAGAATGTTGACAATTACACAGAAAAATTAACCGCTAATGACATCTAGCTTGAAAAATATATAAGTATTTAAAAAATCTTATCGACAGATTCTTGGCTGTTTTTCAGGTTTTTCATATATTCTTTCTCGAATTTCCCTATTTTTATTAATTAATTTCATTGAACGGTTAGATTTTTCACAATAAGTCAGCACATTATCTATTTTATAAAATTCATTTAAAAAATTTTAACAAAAAGGAAACTTCTATCAAAATTATTTTTAGTAAATTATACCCACTAATGGAAAACAAGGATGCGCTCGTATACTCTATATTTTTTTTTATAATATATTTTCAGATATTATATATACTCATCTAAGTGATCTAATATAACCCCAATACCTTTATGTATACTTGTATGATCTTGTGTGTTATTAAACAGCTGTTATTTAAGTAATACGTCACTAGAAACTATTTAATTTTCGGCTATTTTTTTTTTTTATAAAATTTACAATAATGTCAAGAAGGTATTTGAAAAAAATTAGCAGCAGTGTTGAAATTGCAATAGATGAAAATGAACACTCTAATATTCAAGTTTCACCATCAGCATCGATAAGTAATTCAAAAAAATTTAATATTTTCAATTTAGTAAGTATCTGATAATATTTTTGCTGTAAATATTAATAATACAATTAATTAAAAAATTAAATTTGTCAACAGTTGGATGAAAATTCACCTAATGATGAAACACCAGAAAATTATGAGAGTGATGAATCAAACCACAAAGACAATTGTGATGAAAATGTTGACAATAGTAACAATAAATCGAAGAAGAAACGTAAGAAAAAGAAAAACAGGGCCAATGCGAAATTAATAGCGAAGAGTAATTTGAGTAACAAAACAAAAGATGAGTCTGATGAAATTGAGAAAACTCTGCAGGAAGTAAATAATCTTCTTGGTGAACCAGATGAACCTTCTTGCAGCAATTCAAACCGAAACTCTGCTCCTGAAGGAGTTGATAAAACCAGGAGCGTACTGCAAGTCGAGTTTAAGTTTCTCAGTGCAGTAAATGAGCTTAAGAGAAAATGCGGCGGTGGAAATAGAAATGTCCTTGCAGCGGTTGTAGGTGAAAAAAGTAAAAATAAGAACAAAAAAAGATATTTAAGGAAGACATGGTTGACTTCATTGACCGATCGATTCCCTACGGAGCAATGTGGATTATCTATGGTCATTGATCCGACAATTAAGTCTGATGGTGACATTCAGCATTTTGTTTTTGTTCATAGCTCTAGTTATAGGCAAGTCCAAAATAAGTTCTTTATTGCTGTTGAAAGTCAAAATCCTGATAATATTGTGGTAAGTATTTAGTTAAAATTGTATTTTATAATTTTTTCTGTTCGAATTCATCCGAGATTTAAATACAGTAGAACCTCGTCGTTAAGTTGAACCTCGATAAGTCGAAAATCTCATAAACTCGAAGAAATGTTTCATCTCCTTCCCTCCAAGCCCCAAAATCTCCGTTGCTTGAAATTTTTACCCTATATAAGTCGAAATAATTAGTGAGTCCCTACAACCTATTTCTGTACATATTTTCTCTCCATAACTCGAAAAATTAAATTTTACCTCTTAACCTTGAGAAAAAAAAAAAAATACTTGTATTAAGAAAATTTTCTTGATACAAGAATTTATGTTCTTTGAAATTTTCAAGAATTTATATTCTTAGCTCAAGAAATTGTTAAATTGATTGAAATAATTTTTACTTAATTTAAATAAAGCTATTATTTTGTTTATCTATTATCCAAAGATAAATATTGATGTTCTTCTCTTCAGAAATTAATAATTAATAATAATAGAATACTTGATCGTCAGCGAGTTTCTTGAACCAAGAAATTGTTAATTGAGTGAAAGTATTTTTTTTTCTCAGCGTATCTCGATCATAGCAATGTTTTATTTTACAATCTTTACAACTCGTAAGTACACCATTGTTTCTTAGGAGTATAGAATAGGGTGCGTCAAAATTTAATCTCCAAAAGCAACCTTTTGAAATTGGAATTTTGAATTCCGCTTTTAGCAGGAGTTAGGTTTAGGTATTTCCTGAGATATTTTAATGTGTCAGGATTTATTTGATATTCACATTATTTTTTTAACAGGAGTTTTGTTTAAGCATTTTTTCTGGAATTTAAAAATTTCAAAATTTGGCCAAACGAAGCTCGAAATCCTCTATAACTCGAATTTTTTTGCCTCTCCCTTGGAATTCGAGTTACAGAGGTTCTACTGTATAAACGTAAAATATAATAATGAAATTGATTGTTTTTCTTTTTTCCTTTTTTAGAGCATTTTGAATGCACATCCGTATCATATAGATACTCTTTTGCAATTTGCAGAACTTTGCAAGTTAAATGAAGATCTACAAACGTCAGCAGAGTTTGTAGAGCGTGCAGTCCATTGTTTTGAATGTGCATTCCATCCATATTTCAATGTGACAACTGGTAACTGTAGATTGTCGTATAAAAACCAAACGAACAGACCATTTTTTATTGCACTGTTTAAACACCTGATGTTTATTAGCGGCCGTGCTTGCTACAGAACAAGTTTAGAACTTTGTAAAGTATTACTATCTCTTAATCCAGAAGGCGATCCTTTGGCAATTGTTTTAACAATTGACTTATTTGCACTGCGCGCTAAAGAATACCAATGGTTTATTGATTTTTGTGAGGCTTGGAAATCATCGAGAAATTTAACTCAGTTACCAAATATTGCATACAGTCTTGCGTTAGCTCATTTTTATCTAGGACATGAAGAAACAGCTAATGAATTACTTCAAGATGCTCTTTTTATGTTTCCTGGAGTGTTAAATGATTTACTCGAGAAATGCAGTGTACAAACTGACACTAGACTTCTGGGGCATGATCATTTCAATTGTGTGGCTAAAACAACTACAAGTTTTGCCTTGGAAAAGCTTCAAACTTTATATGTAGTTCGTTCTTGCCATCTTTGGAAAGATTCTAATATTTTGGGTTGGCTTGAAAATGCTGCCCATGCTGTTATGGATAAAATTGATTCTGGTGATGAGTATGCAGCTTACTGTAAAGAAAAAAGAAGTCAAAGATATCAGGGTCAGCTTCCTAAAAATATTCGCCGTCATATCGTTCTATCTGATCTGAAACAAGTCACAATTACACATCCTGGGGTAATAATAATTAAATTATTTAATAAATTAAAAAAATATAATCAATTATTTATTTATTTATTTATTCAAGAACGCCAATCGGCAATATACAGTAGTAATCATAAAATTTATATTGTGGTTATTGTTATTTGCAAGAACAATGATAGTTGAAAAGAAAAAGAAAAAAAAAATAACAGAAAAAATAATAGAGATATAATACCGAGATTTGAGACAATATTTTATCATTATAGTAGTCGTAAAGATGTCTTTTTAGGCTGAAGTTGAAGCATCGGATGGAGCCTCCGAAGAACTGGAGTTATATAAACTTAGAATAATATTTGTTTTTTATTTCCATTCTCGAAAATAGAAGCTAAAATTTTTAGATAATTTTTTTCCAACATCTACAAGAAAATTTTCAAATATGAGTTAAAAAAAAAAAAAATTATTTTATTAAAATAGCATTAGTGAATATATTCACGGCGCGAAAATTGAAAGCTTAAAAATATTTCTGGTTCGAAAAATTTTAAGCTAGTTGAAAATCACAAAATGAAAAAAAAAATTTTTTTTTCACATTGTATATTTAACTATTTACTGTTTTTTAATTGAAAAATGTCTTATTATTTCAGATGCATCAAGATGATCCTATTTTTTCTTATGATCCCTTGCCGCCAGTAGATTCAAATAATATTTATGTGAGACAAGAGGCCTCAACTCAGAGACCTTCTAATGTAGGATCCTCAAACATTTTATCACTTTTTCTCTCTTCACTTTTTCCAAACAATGATCCAAACTTACGTGCTCAGTTTAACCAGCTTAACATACGGTAATATTGATATTGAAATATTGGAAAATGTATTGAAAATGATTACTAATATTGATTTATTTTTTTCAGAAATGAAGAAAGAGAAGCTCCAGGTGAATTTGATTAATATGATAAATATGACCATCAATATAATAATACGAAATATACATCTTATTATAATCATGATAAATAGCTACAATATGTTTTAATTAATAATTGTAACTTCAAAAAAAATAATAAGCTTTCACAACAGGATAGGATAATTATACATGTTTATAGATTTAATCTTTGAGTTCAATATTAAGTTATATTGTTATTGTTTTTTTGATTTACAATCATTGCTAATGAAAATAAAGAATATTTTCAAAAAATTTAAGTTTAATAATTATCTTTAATTATTTTAGTAATATACCTATAAAAATAATTAATTATAACAACTTGGTGGAAATAAAAAAAATTAATGTAAAATGATGTTTAAATAATCTGAGTTAGAGAATTTAATAAATTTTTATTAAATTTGTAAGCGAATAAAAAATTTACATTTTATAGCCAACTAGAATTTTTAACGGCGCGCATTCGCGCGCCCCCTATCGAAATTCTCGGGGTCATCTGAGTGATCCGAACGGAAATGTAGCCAATGTAATAATTGTAAAGAAATTCAAAAAGTAACTTGCTCTTTAACAAGTTATATACATTTAATATTTCATACATAACACTTAATGTATGTCAAATAATAGTAAATTCTATATAATAAAATACACACATTAAAACATTTAGATATCATATTTATGAAAAAAATTAAACTGTAACCCATGAAACATTACACAAGAACGACAATTGATCTGTCTTCTAAGTCTTCTAAGTCATAAGTAAGAAATTAGTTGTCGGTAAGGTAAATTTTTTTAGGTAACTGGCGGTGGAGGAAATTTAAATTATATAATCTAAATTCAAACACAACCTTTTTATTCTAAATAAGAATAATTCTTCTTGAAAATATTTATTGTTTTTATTTATTAAAATATATAAATATCGATTACTATATTGATAAATTTTGAGAAAGTGTATAAATAAATAATAATTTAAGTTGAAACAAATAAAAAACAGTTTGATTTTAATATTTTATATAATTAACAAAAAATTACTTTATAAAGAAAAATAAATAATTTCCCATTAAATAAGCGATTTTTTGTTTTATTTTAGTAATCAATATTTGTATATTTTAATAAATAAAAACAATAAATATTTTCAAGAAGAATTATTCTTATTTAGAATAAAAAGGTTGTGTTTGAATTTAGATTATATAATTTAAATTTCCTTCACCGCCAGTTACCTAAAAAAATTCACCTTACCGACAACTAATTTCTTACTTATGACTTAGAAGACTTAGAAGACAGATCAATTGTCGTTCTTTTGTAATGTTTCATGGGTTACAGTTTAATTTTTTTCATAAATATGATATTTAAATGTTTTAATGTGTGTATTTTATTATATAGAATTTACTATTATTTGACATATATTAAGTGTTATGTATGAAGTATTAAATGTATATAACTTGTTAGAGAGCAAGTTACTTTTTGAATTCCTTTACAATAAATTACATTGGCTACATTTCCGTTCGGATCACTCAGATGACCCCAAATTCTCGAATGAATTTATCCTGTTCGATTTATATCGATATATTGATATGTTCACGTACCAGGAGATTGACCAATAGTAACTGAGGAGGGTTTATATTCTACCAATAAGGAATCAGGTCTCATTTTTTCAACTATTGACTAACTTCAAACTGTCATGTATTAATACAATACAAACACCACAGCGTGTGTAAAAGTTCATTCTGTCATAACAACGTATCGCAGTATTTCTTTTATTAGTGTAAAATTTCACATTTCACAAAAGAAAAAAAAATTAATTATTATTAAAGATTGACTGGAATTACTTTTGAATTTTGATAATCTTAAAAAGTGTCTTGATATCGAGTTAACGCAATCCAAGTTAACCTCAAAAACTAAATAATTGTTTATTGTGATTTTTGATCCACACATTGGGTTGTAATTATTAATTAAACATGTCATCATCCGGAGATGATCCTTATGCCCACGTATGTAAGGGTTCTTTGAAATTGAAAAATAGCGACGGCATTAGTAAAAAGTGAGTATTGATTAAAATTTTTGGTTGTAAACATAGAATTAAATTATCACATAGTCGAGTTGGAATTCTATTGTAGAATTTACATCTATTATTTTTTCAATCTGTCATCTATTCTTTTTTATTAGTATGTAAATTTTTCAATCTAGATTGTTAGAAGTTTTATCGTTTTATCTGGTCAATAAAATAAAAAAAAATTGAAAACAAAAATAAAATTATTGAAGAGAGATTGAATCAAAAAATTGATAATACAATTTTTTTTAATTGAGAATTAAATTACTTTTTTTCAATACTTTAAGCAGTAACTTTTAATTAATAATTATATATTAAAATTTATTTTTTTAATTATAGGAAATCAAAAAAAAAGGAGCAAAAAAAACTTGTCGAAGTTGCGAAAATAGTTGACGAAGAACAAACGAAACCTGTTGAAATAAAGAGAACTAAAGCCGAGTTAGCCTTTTTAAAAATGCAAGAAAAAATGGTAAGTTTTTATTTTTTATTATTATCAAATTGTAGCATTGTGACACATTTACTTAAAATTTTCTTCCCACAAACTCATCCTTGAAAAATTCAACTTGATGTGATTTTTTTATCAATACTTTAGTGAAAACTAATTGAACTGATAAGTAATTAGAATAAATACGCTTTAGATGATGACACTGAAGTTAGCAGACGTCTAAAAATTTTCGATTTTTTTTTTAAATTAAATTACAACTAAAAAAATATTTCTAAAAAATTGCACTTGTAGTTTTTCAAGTTTTTTACATGTGACAATTTTTTTTTTAATTGTTTAATTGAAATTTCTTCAATAAAAAATTTCTAAAAATTTTGAAATGTCAGCTAACTCCATTTTCATTTTAGATGATTAAATATTTAAGTATAATTTTTTAAGAAAGTTATTTCTAATGAAAATTAAGTTTGCTGACATCAGAAAATTTTTAGAATTTTTTTTTATTGAAAAAATTACAAAAAAAAATAAAAAAAAAATTTTATTTGTAAAAAACTTGAAAAACTGAAAGTGCAATTTACAAAAATTATTTTTTTGTTCTAATTTAATTAATGAAAAAAAAAATTTAAAAGTCGGCTAACTTCAGTATTATTATTTCTAACTATATTTTGATCAAGGAAGTTGAAAGTAGATGTCACAGCTTAAAACTCTTTTTTAAAAAAGACGAGACTCATCATTTTTTTATTTTTTTTTATTCTAGCAAACTGAAAGAATCAAACAAAAAGCTTCAAAAACTCATAAGCAGCGAGTAGAAGAATTTAATAGGCATTTAGATAGTCTTACCGAACACTTTGATATACCTAAAGTCAGTTGGACGAAGTAATTTATTTTTATTATTATTATTGAGCCAAAATAAAGTGGTTGAAATTTACAAAATAAATTATTTTAACTAAACATTTATTATATAAGATACAGTACGTATAAAAAATATTCGAAAAAATCAATTAAAGTTTACATTAATTGTTGTTTTTAATTTTAAAATTATTGTAAAAAAATAAAATTAAATAAAATTTTGTTAATTGTACTCTTAGTATATACATAAAATACTAATTATTGGACGGCTACGATTCCGAATATAAAGCACAAATTTTACTTTAAAAAATTCGTAAAATATGTTAAGTAAAATCTTAAGTTCTATATTAACAATATTGGTTCGTTGTTTAATTCAAGAGTATTCTCTTGAATTTTCTTATAACTATAAGATAGAATTTTATCTACTATTTTTACTATTTAATTGAAGTACTTTGTGGTAATGATAAATAACATTAATAAAGTTATTTAAAAATAGTCAGTAGTAAAGCCACGAATAGCAGTATACTTGGAGTGTTACAAACAGCAGAACTTCCAAATCGGAAAATTCTTATGTGACTTTCACTTAGCAACCAGGGATTTGTACCATCGTCGAAGAACATTGGACACTGATCTCGTTCACGTTCATATTCCTGTTTCAAATAAAGATATAAAAAATTTTTAAATTAACAACTTATAATTAATCAATACTAGCAACCTTGCAGTCACTATGTGACTGCCGTGTATTTGTGAGCTATAAATAAATAAAATTTTGCTTCATTAAATAATTAATTTTGTTAAATTGCACTGTACTTTTTTAAAGATATAAGCTCATCCCAATGTTATACTCATCAAGAGCTTTCATTTGAGTACCCACATGTATTTTGATATATTTTTCATATGTACATATATATAAATATATAAAATATATGAAAAATTGATGTGGGTACTCAAATGAAAGGTCTTGATGAGTGTAATGTCGGGGTGAGCTTATATCTTTAAAAATGTCAATAGTTCACAAGATATTTGTTAAAATGCTCTGTATATTTTTTATACTGAAATAAATTTTTTTTTTAATTTGAATTTTTGATAAAATCTAAAAAAAAAAACTTTTGATTGTTAGCTTATATCTTTTTTTAATGTCCATATTTAAAAAAAAAATTCCAAACTAGCAATTTTTTGTTAAATTGCACTCTACTTTTTTAACTATTAGCGTTTTTAAAGATATAAGCTCATCCCGATGGTACGCTCATCAAGAGTTTTCATTTGAGTACCCACATGCATTTTTTATATATTTTTCATATATACATATATACGATTTATATAAATATATGAAAAATTGATGTGATGTGGGTACTCAAATGAAAGGTCTCGATGAGTGTAATCTCTGGATGAGCTTATATCTTAAAAAAGGTTAATAGTTCACGAGATACAAGATAATTTCTTAATTATTGACGTTTTCAAAGATATAAGCTCATCCCGATGTTACAGTCATCAAGAGCTTTCATTTGAGTACCCACATGCATTTTGATATATTTTTCATATATACATATATATAAATATATAAAATATATGAAAAATTGATGTGGGTACTCAAATGAAAGGTCTCGTTGAGTGTATTATCGGGGTGAACTTATATCTTTAAAAATATCAATAGTTCTCAAGATACAAGGTCATTTCTTAATTATGTATCTAGAGAGAGAGAGAATTTTTAAATGCAGCCTAAATACTTATTATAATAAATTGACTATCGGTGAGAATGGTATGAAACCTTGAAAAGGCATAAATTCAAGCCAAGACCTTTGCAATGACACTAAATTTCTCTAACAAAACCGATTTTATCATATGACTATCCTGGACACAAAATTTTTCTTATTCTCTTAATAATATAGATTAAGGATATGTTTACCGTCATGTCTATCGCAACGGCGGCTCCTTCAGTCCAATTCCAACTTTTAACAGTTTGATTCACAGAACAATACGGGCCAACCGCCTGAGACATTAAAATTCTGTTGAGTTCAGCTCTTTGATATACCCAACAACGATACTTGCTGTAGGGATCTAATTCGTCAAATGTAATCAAATAAGATTTCAAATTTTCTTTATAATAACCAATGCATTTCATTTGATAATCAGGATCACCTGTTGGTAATTTAATTACGTTAAATAATCAATTCATTCAAATAATTTTTGAAATTTCATTTTAACTAACTGTAAATATCCACAGGACGTCCCAAATGGTCTACAGAAAGACAATAAGTCTCATCGATAGCTATTTCTTTTTGATCACTATCACATACTGAGAAATCAGATATATTTGCTTTACAGTAAGTATTAGGTCGAGGTGCAAGTGTAACTCCCCCCAGGATTCTTGTTTCAAACAGAATATCTCCTGCTTGCTTAAATGCGAATTTTCCAGCTACTGGACATCTTACAGGAACGGGGTATTTAGCTGAAAATAATTATATTTTTTATTATTGAGACAAAATACTTTTGAAATTTTTTTACATACCTAAAAGTAGATCATATTTCCACTTAATTTGGCCAGGAAATTGTACCCATGAACAAACAGTGTGGAAATTGTTTTTAATAACTGCCAATCCTTTTCTGAATCTTATAATATTGTGATGGCGCGGTATAAAATCAAAACATACATAATCTTTTTGACTGAAAAAAAAAAAAAAAGAAAATTTTTAATACCTAATTTAATGTTTTTAACGTTTAATAAAATGTATCCAATTAATAAAATTTTAATCAATAATATTAAGGAGGATAGCCACTGTGAAATTTCAAAAAAAATATTTTTTTTTTTGTTTTTTTTTTTTTTTTTTATTAAATAAAAGTTAATATATTCAAAAATATGTATCTAGAGTTTTATATGGAAATTCTGAATATTTTCCGAGTTATAGTCATTTTTGTGACAGCGCGTCATATGATTTTACACGCGCGGCATTCCGACAAAAACGCGTTTTTCTCGAAACTACTTTTTTTTTTAACTGATGAAAACTGTAATTTGCATAAATATAAACCGATCTGCAATTTTTTTTTCCCCCGTATTCGTCTACTCAGTAGCTATCGTTGCACGTAGGGGATTTTGGAAATCTTGATATTTGAGATTTTTTAGGGCTGTTTGAATCCAAAAAAATGAGGAAAAAAAACGAAAAATTTTTTAATATTTCGCCATTTTTTTTTAAATCCAAATTTTCAAAATCCCCTATGTGCAACGATAACCACATGCATGGAGATTACAACGCTGTTTCGTTTTTTTGTTTTAGATAATCCAAATAGATTTTTCGTTTTTTTGTTTTAGATAAACAATAGGTTGTATTATTTGGGCTGCTTATTTTAAAAACTATTATCTACAGGTGAACCTAAATTTCTGAGAAGTCTATTTGTTGATGAAGACCCAGAAATTAGACGATCAGACGGATTAGCAGCAAAAAATAATGTCATGTTCAAAATTCCTAAATTCTCGAGTACCATTTATGAATATTCGTTTGTTGTTTCGGCTATCAGGTTCTGGCAAGATTTGCCACCTGAAATCCCAAATTCTCTTAGCTTAGAATCATTTAAATCGAAGCTATTTGATTTTCTTTTCAGTTTAGATTAACTAGATTTCTATTTAAATTATTGTGCAATACTGGTAAAGTAAAAAAAAAAATTGTGTATATTAAGATACTTAAAATTGTAACCATGCTACTCTTTCTGAATGCACTTAATTATTACGTTTAGTTAAGATGTACTTCAAATTTAAATTATATTGTTTATAAATAATACAAAATTTTATATTTAAGCAAATACTTCTAATTTTAATTTTATTACTTATGTGAAACAAAGTCCTATGTATTTTACTTCTTGCTATTTGGCTTTATGCCTTGGCATTTAAATTTCAATAAATAAAAATAAAATAAAAATAATCGGTTTTTGAGTTAAAGATCGCACCGTGGAGGGGGACATTTTTTTGGTGCTCCACAAAAATGCTAATAACTTTATAACAACATGATATTTTTTAATAAAAATTTAGGAGAATAATCTTTAATGTATACTTTATAAAACAAAAAAAAACCCAATCCTCAAATTCTTTTATTATCCCAGTCAAAAAAATTTCCGAAAATTACCTATTTTTTCGATCGTCACAGTGGCTATCCCCCTTAATCGTAGAATAGATTAAAAAAATATTATTACCATCCATCAACAGTAAGACGAGCCATCATTATTCTTGAATCTCGTTGCTCTTGACAAACATAAATAGTTCTTCGATACCGACCTTCATCAGGATGCCACTCTTCAATGATATGTGTTTCGTTAATAAATACATCGGCATCATTATTAGCAGTATTTATCCAGTCTCCTGACATATTTTGTGGTAATCGACAACCAGGTATTACAACTTCAGCTTTTACTGGAGTTATGTGCAATCTCTCAGGACTTTTTTCGACAGTATTAAGTGTGTTACATTCTGCCGTAATTGATACTCCTATGTACAAATCATCTTCACGATTTTTTAAAAAGCACCGATACTTTTCATCTTTACGAGATTCTTTGGTATTAGCAACTGCGAAGAAATGATTTTTTCCAACGAACCAGTCACCCAAACAACTGTACTCGACCACTGAAAAAATATATTCACAATTAAATCTAATAACTCTGTTATTTTTTCATTGCAGTTATCTTTCTTCTTTGCATAAACAGAGGGAAAAATATCTATCTCGTTTTTCCACTAGCTATTTTATGGCTTTAGGTGATAAAAAGGATCACAAGTTTTTTCTGCTCTCTTATTATTTAAATAAGTTTATGAAGTTACTTTTAATTTATTCCAGTGTAAAGCTCAACAAACCATGTTTTAAAACTTGAAATTATATTTAAGTTATAATTAGATAGTAAATAAATTTTTTACCTCCATCAAAAGTTCCTTTCATATTATCACATTTTTTATAAGTAATATTGAATTTTTGGTTTGTTATTAAAAATTGCGTTCCAGCTGTTTGACATGATCGGATTTGGGCATCTGGATGGTTACACTCTCCGGTAAATCTAAATCGATTCTGTAAAATAAATAAACGAAAAATTTATTTTAATTTTTAAATAAAAAGCTTGTTAAATGTATTTAAATATACTCATGGTAATATATTTTAAGTTTAAATAACACAAAAATTTTAAACTTGAAAGTAAAAATTAATTTAAAATAAAAATTCAAGTTTCTGATTCTGAAAGCATTCTGAAAGTTTATTCTAAGATGATCATCCTGATATTAGTCCGTGTTTCCTCTAGATTAGACTTTGCAAACTGCCATTCTACCCTACCTTCTCAATTGAGAGTATTACCCGCACTTGTAAGGTCGCCTTGCAGATAAGGCACATAATAAAATGAAATTTCTTCGCTTTTTTGTCCAATGTTTTTTAAAATCATACTCGTAAAACCACTCATTCTTTTTTTAATTTTATGATAAAGAAAATTTTTATTCCATTTACATGTAATTAATTAAGTGAGTAGCATCTATTATTAAGTTAAATATTTATTAGGGTAGCTCAAAAAAACCAGCTATTTTTTCATTTTTTAGTCGAGTGAAAAAATGTCAATTTTTGATGTTTTAAGAACCTTTTCCAAAGAACAGCTCAAAAAAAAATTTTTAAGAGGTCGCTCCAAATTTTTTTAAATTTCAAAAATCGTCAAAAATCGATTTTTTTTTTTAATTTTTTTTCTCGTTACGTCATAATTTTATAGAGAAAAAAAAAAGGTTTTCCTGAAAGTTTCAATTCAAAATTTAAATTTTGAAAGATCGCTCATAATTTTTTTTAAATTTCAGAGTCAAAAAATGCTAATCCAATTAAATAGTCACTAATAAATTAAAAAAAAATTATGAGCGACCTTTTAAAATTCACATTTTGAACTGAAACTTTCAGGAAAACCTTTTTTTTTTGTCTATAAAATTATGACGTAACGAGAAAAAAAATTAAAAAAAAAATCGATTTTTGACGATTTTTGAAATTTAAAAAAATTTGGAGCGACCTTTTAAAATTTTTTTTTAAGCTGTCCTTTGGAGAGAGCTCTTAAAATATAAAAAATTAACATTTTTTCACTCGAGACTAAAAAAAAAAAAATAGTCGGTTTTTTTTGCGCCACCCTAATATTTATTGTAAAAAAAAATATTTCATTTCTATTGCTAATTTTACTTCAGGAATCATTTTCATCTCATTGATTTAAGAAATTTCTCTTTTTGTACTGAAATATTTCTCTAAATCCAAATCGGGTTACTAAAGTCACGTATAATTACAATAAACGTTTGATTAAATTATTATTAAGACAGTACCAAAATATTTTTATTTTATGAATAAAAAAATCAATTATGTAATTAAGAAGTTTTGTAGGTAAACTCTGAAAAAGTTACAAGTACTAAAAAAAAGTTGATAACAAAATTTATCAATTTTAGTACCATGTTCGGTCATTAAGTTAACGATCTAATCATGATAAATTACTATTATGAGTAACATAGTTATCTTATCAATTTTGTATAAAAATTCTCGAGTTATCAATAAAAGTTAGTTGCTGTTGATACCTCTGGCAAGTGGATATTCGTTTGCCGTTCATTATTATATTCTATTAAATAAAAGTTTCACAGGAAAATTTATATTTACAAAAATTAAATCAGCATCAAAATATATTTTATAGCCTATCGCTTTATATTTTTATTATATTTCAGAAGTGTATTTTTAATTAACAAGTTTAATTATGAGTCCAGAATTCTATCGATAATTAAGTTTATAAAACGCTGTGTGTAAATAAAATTTTTTCATAGTATGCAAAAAAAAATTGGTAACACGATGTAGCATCAAAATTATCAAGATATAACTATACATATTCAAAGGGTAGTGCGTAGTTTTATCAGTTTAATTTTCCAAACAGTGTGAAGTATTTATACCTGTAATCCGCCTAGAGTAAGCTTAAATGTTAATCACATGCATTGAAAATTAATAATTTGACAAATAGTATTATTATATAAACAAATAATGACCTGATAAGCAAACTGCCATACACCTTCAAGCGATGATCTGCAATTAACGGGTTTATAGTTTTCAGAAAACAGAGTTATTAGTTGTTGATCACTTCTTAATCCACCGCATACGTTTTCTTCAGTTGCATTCACCTTAGGAGGTAAATTTACACAAGTCACTGTAAGAAAAATAACGAATTATTAATTACTAGCTATTATTTGCCCGCTCCGCTAGGCGCTTTATAGAATTACATTTTAAGATTTAGACTTGAAATTTAATTAGAGTATTATTTTGACTTGTATAGATTCTCAATTCTATCGAATTTGCATGCACCTTTTATCCATATAATTATTCTAGCTAATATTCATTGTAATTTTCAATGTGCAATCATTATAACAATCCCGTGTCTTTCTTACAAAAATGAATAATAATTGATTTGAAAAAAAAAAAAAATTTGTAATGAGCATTGAAAGTTTCAGTTAAAGAAATTGCAGGTCTCACATAAGTGAAGAAATCTGCCTAGTATATAAACATAATCGATAGAATTAAAAATTTTATTTTAAACAAATGGCAATCGAATAGAATAAATTTAGTTACAATAAAAATTTACTATTTATAAGTCAAAAAAATATAGGCTCCGGATAAGTAATCATCAACATATCATATACTAAAAACTTCTCCGAAACACGCTGCATCTTATGGTATAAGTATTATTTTGATCGGTTCAGAAGTTTTCGCAGTATAACCGGACAAAAAAACCAGCTCTTCATTTATTAGTATAGATAGATTAATTATAAAAATTAATAATGAATTTTGAAATAAAAATTTAATGAATTATATAATAATCCGTACTTACATTCAACTTTTTCCAAAATATTAATTGTTCTGACGATGAGTTTTACACAGTGGTAACAAGTATCTTTTTTAAATATAAACGTATAATTCAATCTTTGAGTTTCATTCATGTAAATAATTTTTCCTCTGTCTGTCATGTGATCGGCATTAATTTCTGTTCGTGTATTTCTGCCATTTTCCCAAGAAAACCAGTCACCTCTGACCACTTCTGGTATTTGATAAGTTTTTTCTTCACTTATTGCGTTTTGTTCAATTGTTGAGTTCTCTTGAGTTAAATTTTTTTGAATTGTTGAGTATTCTTCAGTTGTTGAGTCTTGTTGAGTTGATAAATAAACTGCGACATTAAAAAATAAAAAATATAACTAAACCAATATATTTGATGGGTTTGATCATGAATAAATAATAACTGTTTCCTTAATCAAGAGATATGTTTAATAGTTTGAAATTTTAATAAATTTAATTACTATCTAATCTTCTTAACTTCAATCAAATTTTTTCTTGTAAATTTTGTAAACAAAATAATTAGGATTACATTATGTTTATCATAAACGGAATTATACGGATTATTTATCGATTGCTGTTGATTAATTGACCCATCAGTTATTCTGCTATCGTTAGTAGTAATAGAGCAAAAGATATTCAAATGCGCTTACGCCTCAGGATATATGCTCCGAATATTGTTCTGAAAATAATCCAGAAAATTTTTGAACCTTCTAACTATAAATTTTTGTCAATTTATCTGACTTCAAAAATGTTTTAAAATAATTTATTTTTTAATCTTCAAAAAAAAGTTAATTGCTTTTATTTTGTATGAAAATATTTTTTTTTGAAAATTTGTCTGAATTATTGATAAAAAAAAAAAAACAACTAACTGTTAATGAAAATAAACTAAATTTAACACTTTTACATTCGCGTTTTGTTAAACTGTGGAAGAATAAAAGAATATGTAAACGGATGAATTCATAAGTTTTCCTGAACACTTATCTCTTTCAAAAAAAAAAATGCGGCAATTGCTATGTTATGAAATTATATTTTCTATGTTAGCATAAGAAAATATGATTTTTCGGCTGTTTTTTTTTTTTTACTATTCTATTATAAGAGCGAATAATTTCCATTTACATGCGCAATGTCATAAATTTAAACGAAATTCTTTTTATTGCAACAAACAATGTTTTGGGGTGTGGTTACAAGCTCTAAATGAAAAAACTTGTTTTTTATTATTATGTATTGTATACAGGAACCATTATTTATGCTTTTATTTTAAACCTAAATCAAAATGAATTACAGTAAATTATAAATTAAATTTTTTAGTTTTAACTTTTAAATTAAATTTTTTATTAATAACATTTAAAATGTTAGAGAATAAAATTTTATTAATGTTAAATTAAGTATTTAGCCAAAGATAATAAAATGTGACCAGCTAATAGCAATATTATAAATTCAAATCTGTAAGATATAATTAAAAATAAGAATAATATAATATTTTGTTAATGTTATGACATTAAATTAAATTCAAATTGAACGTTTGGTAGTGTAATAGGCTTTTTTAACCTTTTAGTGACGTATTATAAACAAATTATAAAAAAATCTTACCGCTATTTAGTGACAAAAGCAAAACTAACAAAAAACGCCTACTGGTAAGATCCATTTTAAAAATTTTTTAGTAATTTTCAATCTTAAAAACAGAACTTCTTAAAACTAAACATAACAGAGGAATTTTAATGACTAATTTTTTAATAAAAAACTATACAATTCTTTATTACGATATGTATAGGTACATACACACGCCCTAACTGTATGTTACATGCTTCGGACATAGATCGACATAAATCGGCTACAGTCTCACCAGCAGAAGAATATTATTGGAGCATTGGTGAAGGAATAAGCTTTCTTATATTACGTCAGAATAATTCTTCCGCTTTAGCTGACCACTGAAGCCCATAAGAACAGGTTTACACGTATTATGCTTTTCTTTGAAACTGGTACTGGTACTTGTTTGTGTATCAACGCTCATCTTATTGTTCTAAAAAGACATCTAAGCTCTGAGCAAGATCACGTCAAGTAGACCCCCATTTTCCACTTGATCATAAAATTAAGTCTATATGTTCGAAATCTTAAACTTTATTAAATAACACACATAATTAGTAAGAAAAACTTCATTATTTTATCGAGAAATCAATGAAATTTTTATTTGTTAACTTAAAATTTAATTAATTATAGGATAATAAACAAATAATTTCAAGCTATTAATATTTTTATAAAATATAGATATTTGACAATAAGTCCGGAAAATTTCATTAATTTATCTTTAACGGTTGATTTATAATCTATTTTTTAATTAAAAGTACTCAAAATTTTCATTGCAAAAAAAATTGTTGTTAAAATAAAAATTGTGAAAAATCGTTTGGGGAATTAATTTTTCATAGAGATACTTGAGAAAAAAATATATAAACTTAATTTTCATGATCAAGTAGAAAATGGGGGGTTCACTTGACGTGGTCTTGCTCTCTGTGGGAACAGAGAGCACCCCTGTTAAAGGGGGAACACCACTGTGACGATCGAAAAAAAAGAGGTGATTTTCGGAAATTTTTTTGACAGGAAAAATAAAAAAATTTGGGGATCGGATTTTTTTTATCTTATTAAGGGTACATTAAAGATTATTACCCTAAATTTTTATTAATAAATATTTAATTATTACAAAGTTATTAACAATCTCGTAGAGCACTAGAAAAAATTTCCCCCTCCATGGTCGGTTCGATAACTCAAAAACGGATCATCTGAAAATAAAAACCCAAATCTAAATTTTTATTAAAAAATATTTAATAATTACAAAGTTATTAACAATCTCATAAAACACTGGAGAAAAATTCCCTCTCCATGGTCGGTTCGATAACTCAAAAACGGATCTGAAAATAAAAACCCAAATTGCTTTATAATTAGTAAGGATGTAGTTATCGTCGCACGTATGGAATTTTGAAAATTTTAATTTAAAAAAAAATGGCGACTGATTGAAAATTTTCTCCCTATTCTTACTGTTTTTTTTTTTTTGTTTTAATCCGGCTAAAAAAATCTTTAAAATAAAAATTTTTTTAATTCCGTATGTGCGACGATAACTACATCCTTACTGATTAAAAAGCAATTTGGGTTTTTATTTTCAGATTATCTGTTTTTGAGTTATCGAACCGACCGTGGAGGGGGGAAATTTTCTCCAGTGCTCGACGAGATTGTTAATAACTTTGTAATAATTAAATATTTTTTAATAAAAATTTAGGGTAATAATCTTTAATGTACCCTTAATAAAATAAAAAAACCCGATCCCCGAATTCCTTTATTTTCCCTGTCAAAAAAATTCCCGAAAATCACCTCTTTTTTTCGATCGTCACAATGGTGTTCCCCCTTAATGTTATGCTCGACTACTTTAATTTTTAAGGCTTCGAGAAGTTGAAATAAAAAATAGTTGAATATATTATATGCAGTGGTACATATACTATTTAATTAATGATATCTTTTTAGTTTATTTATTAGATACTATGAAAATTTCAAATATTGCTTATAAAATTTAATTAACAATAATGATATCAAATATTTTTATATTCTAAAATTAGCGGACATCTGATCGATTTTTTGGTTTTATAAAAAAAAATGAATAAAAGCACTAAGAAGATATGTAACTGAGTAAAGTTGAAGTAACTAAGTAGAGTAGAATTTGACTAGAGATAAATCTGAATTAAAATTTGAGTAAAGTTAAAGCTTAATATCAAAAATTTTTATCGTAAGTCTTCTACTCTTTACTCAAAAATCATTAGATCATTTTTCGACTTTTGAATTTTTTGAGCATTTTATCGTAACAAAGTATTTATCACGATGAAATCCGTGATGACCGATTTCAATTAATGATAATTAATGTTTATTACATCAAAGTAATAAAAGTTTAATTTAATTCAATATAAGTTTATTTTACGTTGAAAAAAAGTTAAATTATATGTATTAGTTTCCCATAGAATTCCAATTTTTAATAAGATAAAAATTGGCCGTCCATTGCTGACCATGTAGTTATGCATATAAATGAAAAGATTATTTTTTAACTCAATTATTAGTCAGAAATTGTAATAAAAGTAGTCTCGTAAACTATCGATTCATATAGAAGAGTAAAAATGCTATTGATGAAATCATTTTTTCTTGTAAAATGTTCTTGTCATTTGAAAATATCAAATTTATTTATGATACTGAAGTTAGCCGACGTTTTTAATTTTTTGATTTTTTTTTAATAATTAAATTAGAACAAAAAAATATTTTTTAAAAATTGCACTGCCAGTTTTTAAAGTTTTTTTTACAGATGAAAAATTTTTTTTTTAATTTTTTGTAATCATTTTTATGGTACTAAAGTTAGCCGACGTTTTTAATTCTTTGATTTTATTTTAATAATTAAATTAAAATAAAAAATATTTTTTAAAAATTACACTGCCAATTTTCAAAGTTTTTCACAAGTGAAAATTTTTTTTTAATTTTTTTAAATCATTTTTTCAATAAAAAAAAATTTTAAAAATTTTTAGATGTCGGCTAATTTAATTTTCATAATTTATTTTATAGTTTGCTAGGATAGATTTATAAAGATCTAAATATTTCGCGCTGTGACATAAATACTTATCACATTTATATACATTAGCGTGTAGAAAAATATACATACATATATATACATACTTATATTGACTTACGAGTTGATTGATCATGTGTGATATCCATTGTAGATGTCATGCATTATATATATACATATATCGAGTAGATATATTTTTATTTTTAAACGCACACATAAATGTATTTTCTTTTGTAAGTTCACATATTCATCAAAAAAATAATAATTTACCTGTGATAAAAATGTTAAACAGTACAAATTCATTTGTTACATTTGGAATAATAATATTTATTATTAATTATGCAAAATCACACTGTGTTGAACAGACAGCATGTACTTGTTTGCGTGATGACAAAAGAGGTTATGATTTGAGACCATTGGCAGATCAAGGGTTTGTATTTAGATTAGTTTTAATATTTTTAGAAGTTGACATCTAATGTTTATTGTTATTAAGAATTATTTTTTATTTTTTCAGTCCATTTCATAATAAAAAAAATAATTTCACCTTTCAACCATGCAAGAATGTAGATTTGACATTCAAAAACTCGAATGACAGCGACTGTCAAGTATCATCAGTAATTATCAATTTTATTATTTTTTTACTTTAACATAAGACATTACTGTACAAATACTTGAGAGTTAATTATTCTCTTAAAAGGCATTGAGGAGTATCATTCGTTTTATAGATTTGTTTGCTGAGTGGATCAAATCGGTCAATAAGCTTGGGTAAAGCTGAAGATTCAATATGGTCATCTCCATTGAACAATAAAAATGGTGTGCACTTGGTATTCCACCACGAGAATTATATGACTAAAATTAAATTAGAATGTTGCCATGGTTGTGTGACGACGTTGGTAGATCAAAATTCTACTGATACAGAATATGTAAGTGAATTGATGCAAATAAATATAATTAGCCTTGAGAAATCTTAATAGTTTAATACGCAGTAAAATAATAATAAAGTAAAATTTTTATTTACTGTTTTAGAACTTGACGTTGATATCAGAGAGTAACTGTCTAGTAACTATGAGAAGAGGACTTTCAACAGGATCTATATTAGTTATTCTTTTGTTTGTTTTCACCGGAATTTACTTTGCTAGCGGTGCTCTAGCATTAAGATTTTTACGAGGCGCTGTTGGATTGGAATTAATTCCTAATTATGAATTTTGGTCTGATCTTCCTGGACTTGTTAGGGTGAGTACCTAAATATTATAAACAAATAATATTGCTATCGTTTATATAAAAATTTAAGATACAACTCTTGTTTTTATTTATAAAAACAATTAAGGACAAAAATTTAATACTTAGTAAATGTTCTGAAATAAAATATAAAATACTTTTGGAAATTCAGAAAGTTAAGCTAATTTTTTTAACAGATACTTCATCATAATTTACATTTAACTTGAAATATTTAATATTTATTTATACAGTAGCGCTCAAAAGAATTTTGACAAATATATTGAATGGTTTAATTAAAAATTTAAATTAAAATTACGATGTTAAAATAGTTTTTGTTTCATTTTATAGTTATTGCTTTACTTGAAAAACATAACATATCAGTCGTTAGTAAAATTTTTGATAAAAAATAATATTTTTGGGTGATAAGTATAAGCCCGATTTACGGAATGAATAAAAAACTAATAAATAATGTCAGAAGAAACAATACTGTAAATTAAATATTTATTTAATATATAGATACATTTTTATTAAGACAAACAAGTTATTGTAATTATTCATTATTAGTATTTTGATTGAACGATTTAGAGAGTGAATAATTTTAGCCCGTGCAATTATAAAAGTTATGAAAGAAAATTTAAGTGGTAAAATAAAAAATTCATATTTATCTGTTGAATTATTTTCGTCATTCGACATCAGTGTTTTATCAATTCTGCTATAAAAAATTGATTACTGTTGATGTTTCTTGACAGCTTACTTTAAAACCCTCGGAAGTAAATTTGTTGCTACTTCACTATTTTGAAATTACTCGATAAAACCATGTAAAATCATCTTATAGTGATGACAGTCGAATAATTTTTTAGTAATATCAGAGTAAAATAGTATACACGCTAGAGAGGAGAGGAGGATTCTCACCTTCGGCTCGGGAAGCAATTTTACACGGGATTAGAATATTCTACTTCTCTCCCTCGGTGAGTAATATACTATTTCGAGGTACGAGATTTTTGAATTAAGCTGTCGAATCTAGTATCTAGTGTCGACTGTTATTGATCTACCACGTTAAGAATTTGCAGGCTTTGTATAAGCTGGTCTAAATCTTAACTTATTTTCTCTTCCATTTGTGGAGATGATACCATTCCACTATTTTTATTGCCATCAAAAGAAAGTTGTTGTTGTTGTTGTTGTTGAGACTAGACCGGATTTAATGAATCAGAAACATCACTATGCTTACCAGTCTGAGCTAATCCTTTCTTTTCATAAATGCTGCCATTACACTGTATATGTGGATTACTCTTAAGATTATGTAGCATCTGGTTCTGTTGATCTTAAGTATTAGGACTTCTCAGTGCTTGCATAAGCTGTTGTAGGGCTTGTCTTGGCATCGGTATCATACCACTTTGGCTTTGAGGACTTACATGAACAACAGACTTACCAATAATGTCAGCTTGTTATGTCGTATAGGTTTGTATTAAACACAGCCATACGTTATATTGATAACTGTGCCTGTCGTAATCACTACTGTAATTGTTTCAGTATCAGTTTGTCCTTAATATTTCAACAGAATGATACACTACATTTTGTTTCTTGGCAATGTTTCGCATGGTAGCAACATTATGCAATAAGTTGCTTGCAAATTGAACAACCACCGTTTGTTTTTCATTCACAACGTTCGGTATGTCTAAATACTCTCTTCATCTTTTGACAACTAAGCAGCCGACAATTGATGTTTCAATTCTGACACGCGTGTACTAACTATTATATAAATCTCTCAATTAATACTTCTATTGCTTCCTGGGGATTATTTTTATTTTTTACAACGAACACTGAACCCAACAGCAGAGCCATTAACAAGATTCCTTAATTATAATCATTATAATAGTGTAGAAGACTTAATTAATCTTTTATCGAAGAAGCACATAGATTGTTAGGTTCACCTGGCGGAAGGATCTGATACCACTCTATTGAAACTAATTCTTCAATGAAACGATCAGTATTATGCTTATTAAAATTAATATTATAATTTATTTTTGTAATTATTATTTAATTAGAGTGTGATAATAAAGACAGGATAATGATTGTCAAGATCAAAGGACCAAGAGGATCCGTCCACAAGGCACCCTAAATTCAAAAATATTAAGTAGATTAAATCAAAAGATAACTTTGATTAACATTAAAGATAGAGTAAAACTGAATAAGTCAAAAAGTTCTTGCTAATTTCTGATAATTTTAAATTAGTGATCGCAAGCGAAGATCTTATGGTGGTTATCTTGTTTTACTGTCGCACCATTTTGACCTTGAAATCTGATTGACTTATGTGTCCATCAACAATGCTATTTTGTTGTATTTTATTACAATGGCAACATCCATTGTTGATTCTTTTTGATGTTGTTGTGGTTCCATTATTTTCTGATGAACTTTGCTGCGAAGCAAGACGGCTGTCCAATTTTAAAACACAGTAACTGCAAAATTTTTATACCTGATTTTTTTTTAGAATTGCTGCATTTTTTATAACTTTTAAACCTTAATTTCAAGTATTTTTTCTTAAAAATATTTATATTCGAGTATTTTCTATTCATAAATCAAATTTGTCATTAATTTGGCGGGCAAACTTTTTTTTAATAAGAAAAATTGAAAAAAATTTTTAAATGTTAGTTACTGTGTTTTGAAATTGGGCAGCCGAAGAGTTCTAGCGGAATTTTATTCCATTCAGCACCACCAATACAGGGTTTTTTCTCCCTGTGTAGAGTTTAGTTTATCTAGATCACTGATGTAAGCTCTTTTTATGGCTGTCAGTCATTACTATGCAGTAGCGCAAAATAGTAGCTGTGATCTTGATCTTTGTGAACTATATCTTGTTATTGATCAGCGTAGCTATAGATCCAAGATCCAATTGAATGAGTGAATAATCGTTGGGTTGTGGTGGTGGTCCATCCCTTGTGAAGAATGTTTTTTTTAATTTAATTTGACAGTAGAGTTTATTTTAGATTAATACAAATTGTGTTCGATTATTTTTACATTTATTCAATTAAATATGAGTTACAAAATAGATTGGATTAGAAACGCTTCATTTTAATGCCCAGAAAAAAAAATTAACGAATCGAGAAAATCATTTTGAAAAGTTTCATCGTCTTGATTTGAGTTGAAAAGTTCTTGATAAAAATTTTTCTTAGTTTAAGTAAATTTAACTTAATTCAAGAATTTTTTGTCTTGACTCAAGGCAATTAAATTCTTTAAAATTATTTTCTTAAAATTGAAATTAACAATCAGTGAATAAAAATTGCATGATAAGAACGTGACATTGGCTTAGTTGTAAATTTTTTTACCAACGTAATGTCAACAGTTAATTTTGCCTCAACTAAATTTGAGTTACGATTTTTAGTAAATTATTCAAACCCTAAATAATGTTTACAGAAAGAGAATTAACTCTTATGTGAGATGAAAGTAAAATGCACCGACAAAAGTTTTGTGGATTAAAAATTTATAATTAAAAGAAAAGTTTCCGATTATAATTTATTCTAAATGTAGTTCTACTGTATTTTAAACTTAAATTCTTATGGATCCTTAAAACATTAAATAAAAAAATAATTACTAAAAAAATAAACAGAAAATGAATATTCATTAAGACTGGAAGTTAAAATTTTAATGCATAACTTTTGAAAATTTGAACTTTCATGTTATAATTGAAATTAAGCTTTTATTTATTCGAAGAAAAATAACAATTTAAAAGTTTCTAGAATATTAATTTGTTATTTTTTCTTTTGAATTCAACATTTTTTTTTATAAACATAATTTCATTACTAATATATTGTTCTTTTCTTTTTTGTTTAGGACGGAGTGACATTTACACTTAGCGGTTGTTCGCCGGTAAGTTACGAAAGAATATAAATTCTATGATAAATATTATTTTCCTGTGCAGTGTAACTTGAGAGAAATTGAATCATAACTTGAAAATTGAGAGCAGCCATTCAAAAACTTCAAGTAATCTTTTGTTTATTTTATTTTTCATATTATTTTATTCATATTATTAAGATAGATTCGTGTGACAAGTAGAATCAAGATTTCTTGCAATAAAAAAAAAAACTTATTCACAATCATAATAACTTTTGAAATTCACAATATGTATAGTATGTTAGACTGGCGTAAATTCATTGATTTATTATTATAGGCGTTATAGACATATAAAACTTCAACGACAGAATTTATTTCTTTCTTAATAAGGATAGATATTTTTTTTTAATTAGATAAATATATTTGATTTACGCGTAATGTGACATTTCTGGTCAGTGATGTATAATGTAATTTTAAGAAAATTAATTACACTACGTTGTGTCTATTTTTTGACAGATATACAGAGTGTAGAGAAGATTATTATAAATATTGATTGATTTATTAGAGATATGGATGAGAGCTATAAATTAATATTTAATTTTTTGATATTGTGAAGTGCTTTAAAAAAATTTTAATTCTATAAAGAGTTTGAAATTATCAAAAATTAGATAAGTTATAAAAATTATATTTTTATAAATACATATCTATTGCTCTCTGTTTTCTTTGATATACAATAAATTATATTGATAAAAATATCAAGATGTAATAATCCCAATTAGAAAGACAATAATTGTTTCTATTTTATAACTTATACAATATTCTGAATTAGAACAAGATAGTTACAATAATGTTGAGTAATTCAATAATAATTTAATATGTTTGTAAGTTAATAATAAATATTTATTAATACTAATTTGATATTTGATGTATCAAAAATTTGAAGCCTTTTTTGATTTATCAATTCTACAGTATTCATCTTAAACATATCGATACTAAGGGTGTGCGAATAATTCGAACTTACGAATTATTCGTTTCGAATCGAATATTAATATTCGATTCAAAATTCGAATCGAATAATTTGAATTTTCAAATTATTCGAAATTCTACGAATAATTCGAAAAATTACGAATAATTCGAAAAAATTCGAATTATTCGTAAAATTACGAATAATTCGAAAAAATTTATGTACCAATTGAATCGTTTTCACATTCTCTACAAGGATTTTAGGCCAAACAGTTGATTATTAGTAACTTGGAAGAAATTTAGAGTTTTCATTTTTACATGTCCGCGTGGCTATTGCTATCAAGACTTATCAAGACTTAACTAGACTAGGGTTTAAAATTTTCGATAAGTTCATTTTTAATCATAATTATGCATCAATCGAATCGTTTTCACATTCTCTACAAGGATTCTAGGCCAAACAGTTGATTAGATTAGTAACTTGGAAGAAATTTAGAGTTTTCATTTTTACATGTCCGCGTGGCTATGCTATCAAGTCTTATCAAGACTTATCAAGAGTTAACTAGATTAGGGTTTAAAATTAGGGGTGTGCGAATAATTCGAACTTACAAATTATTCGTTCCGAATCGAATAATTTGAATTTTCGAATTATTCGAAATTCGACGAACAATTCGAAAAAATTCGATTAATTCGAAAAAATTCGAATTATTCAAAAAATTACGAATAATTCGAAAAGTTTCGAATTCTTTCGAATTATTCGTCGAATGTTGATTAATTCGAAAATTCGAATTATTCGGTTCGAATTTCGAATCGAATATCAATATTCGATTCGATTCGATTCGAACGATATTCGCACACCTCTAATCGATACCCACGTTCTAAGATGCCGTGAATCACATTTAGAAAATTTTACAGCAGACAGTAAAAACAGTTAATTTTTAACATTGGTTAAATGGGATTAGACAGATAAAAATGTTTATTTAAAAGTAGTTTAAATATTTATTTAAAAGTTATTCAACTATTTGACCTAAATTTTTAATATGAGGTGCATAATATTGTTATGATTCCTTTTTCCAAAAAAGTCTAGTTAAATTTTGTGGGGTACGTTATCTTAGAATGTGGCTATTGATGTGCTAATAATTTACCAAAGTTGTTAATTTATAAGTTGTGTTACAATTGTAATAAAATTTATTTAATTTTTATTCAAAAGATTAACAAATTATTAGAGGTGTCGAAGTATCCACTTTACACGGCCATTCTATTAACAAGATAAAAAAAATAAACAAAATTGAAAGAAAAAATTTGAAGTTTCAAAAAATATCTTTTTTCTCTGCTACTGAAAATTAATATTGAGTAATTTTTTTTTTTACTGTGGTGATACTTGAGGAGGTATCGTGAAAAATCACTTTTCTTACAATATTCTTCAATTTTTGAATAAGCGTACTTTTAAGTCTCTATATGAATAAAGTTTTTTTAATAGTTATTGCGGTGTTAATTTTCGAAATATTAGCAATTGAAAATCGTACATCTAACATGTATTCCCTATCCTGACCGTAGTTAGAGTGAACATTTTATTGAATAACAACCATACTTTTGTTAAGATTTTTTTTGAAAAACTAAGAATATTTAATTGAAGTTATAATAAGTATTTTTTATCAAAAATAACATAAATGAGCGATATTCATTTTTTTATAAAAAATGTTTGAATGATCGGCTTTCATTAATATTTTTCAAACAGTAATGAGTGTGGGAACAAAAAAGAATAAGTTTTATTTTAATGAATGGAAATTTATTCGATAAAATTTATTTCAATCCATTGTATATATTTTTCTAAATCTTGAAGACTAACTTACGCATAGACCATTCATATAAAGAGATTGAATTTAAGAAACTTCAGTCATTTTATAAGTAGATTAAACATGCCTTAAGTTATCATCTTCACTCAGGAATGTATAATAATTGAATATTATTTCAATTATACTAAAACTTTTAAACTATGTTGATCCGAAAAAATAATAATTTTATAGGAGCAAATCCCTCTGAAAGCTTTGCTATTGATTAAAACTTTTATAGAATAAGTAAAAAAATACTTGGTAGAAAATTAGCAAATTAAGTATAAGTAACATCCTATAATTGTCCATAACTATATGGCGCTATTATACTTACAGATTTCTTTAATAAAGCTCTTTGCTGCTCGTGGTTTTATTTAAAATTAAGAGGATGGTGTTGCCAGCTGCTGGGAACTGCATTACACAAGGCATTACCGTCCGCAATCTTGTAAAATTCAAAAGAACTAGTTTGAACAGCTCAGTACTTTAAGTCTTCTTGAATACAATAGAAGCAAGCAGCAAACCTTGGAGTGATCGAACGCTTCCTAAGAATTTTCTATTAGTAACTTAATACTTGATATAGAATAAGACTTGGTATAGAAGTTACCAACACGTCATTGTACTACATGATATTGACTAACACATTTTTACTTAAACGAAAAAAAATTTTTTTTATGTACTAGTGAATGATATTTTTTTTCCTTTTTGAAATAACCTTGAGATTAAATTGTTTTCACCAAGTTGAAACTATTAGTTATTAATATAAATATAAAAGACCATTCGGCAACCGAAATGGAAGTAAATTTCACAGTGAATCCAATAACTACTAAAATATATAATCATTTTCAAAACGAATGCAAGAGTAAAATTCCATTAAATAGAAAGAGAGAGTGAGTAATTTTTGGCCTAGACTGATTGTGAGGGATGCAAATTAAAGTTTATTTAATAAGCTTTCTGATGCAATTTATAAGAATTTAACAAGTTATCGCATTCAATAGTTAATTCGCAAAGAAACAGTAATAGTCCCAATTTTTGAGAATTTTGAAGAATTTAAATTTCTGTTATCCCCAAACTATTTGATTAAAAAAATATATAAATGTGCAAATTAAAGTATACTTAATGAGCTTTCAGATGCAATTTACAGAAATTTGATTAGATATCGCGTTCAATTGTTATTGCACGGAAATACGGTAAAAGTGAAAATTTTTGCGATTTAGAAAAATTTTTTAATTGCTGTCATTTCTAAACTAATCGACAGATTTGGCTTATCTTAGAGCTTATTCTCAGAAATCGTCCAAAAAATGAGTATGTGACGTTTCATTAAAATCCGTTCAGAATTAAGGGAATTATAGAAGAGACTGAGCCGGTAATATGGTTTATATATAGATATATAAATACATACATATATAAACTTTTGAACCATATATATTTTTTGATTCCGCTTTATAAGTTGAGTCGATATATAGCAAACTTTTTCAAAAATACCATCATGAAGACCAATGCAATATTATTGAAATCTACATCAGTCTTTCTTATACAGTCAAAACCGTTTATAGCGACTTCGCTTAAAGCGACCTGCCGGTTATTACGACGAAATTTTCAAGTCCCGTCTCTATTACATATAAAACACTCAAGCCGAAAACTGCTTATAACAACATTGCTTATAGCGACAAATCGTTTATAGCAACTGAATTCACAGTACTCATAGTAGTAAACTCATAGCAAAATGCATCGGTTATAGCGTCTGACAAATATTTTCATTCATTTTGCAGTAAATATACTTATGATGTCATCAAATTCTTTTGCAGCTTTAAATTAATGAGGATCACAATTTTCATTTTAGTTAATAGTTTTACAAGTTGTACAAAACACTTTCGTTCTTTGTCATAATAATTCTCACACTTTCGTTCTTTGGCAAAATAATTCTTTGACAATGTCAAAAAGAAAACGGAAAGTCTTCGACATAAATGAAAAATCTCACATAATTTTTCAAAAATAATTATGTTTATTAAATGTAGCATTGAAATTTATACGTAGTTTTATTAAAAACTATTTTATTAAAATGTTTAATAAAATAATTTATGTGTAGTTTAATAAATGTTCATGAAGTATTGTTTTTGAATTTAATCCGTGCATTTTTGTTTTCGAATATAACCCATGCATTGCTAGTTTTTACTTATAACGACTATCGGCTATAACGACCATTAACAGGAGGTCCCTTCAATGTTGTTATAAGCGGTTTTCACTGTATACAAAATACATTCCGAAATGCTACTAATGCTCATCATAATTTTTTCATGAGTCAAGACAAAATATTCATGTCAAAAATTCGATTAAAATAATTAATTATCATTCCTGTTACAAATGTAATTTCAGAATGTGAAAACTAATAATTATTTTGCTTATATTGCCTCAAATAATCGAAAAAAATTTCTATGAATTAGACTATTTTATAAAATTTACTTTCCATCTCGGGTTTAGCCAAATGGCGCTTTTTTGTAATATTTTTGTGCGGATATTTTATTATTAAACTTTTTCTCGTATCTATAACAGATCCTACTGAACAATTCAAAGCATTAGTTTTGTATTTATTTCCATTTATCTACATTCATAAAAGTAACATATTTTTTTTCTTTAATTGGAAGCTTCTACTATTGAAAGCTACAACTCCTGATAAAATAATAATAATAAAAATATAAATATTAAATCAATTTTTATTTATTCACATGAATTTAGTGAAAATATCTTTATTATTTTTTGTAAAATATATATAATTTACACAGTTATGTGGTCAATGTATAAAAGAGATGATTTATTATTTTAAAAAGTGATGTATTGTAAAATCGAAATATGATTCGAAAATGATATATGAAATATATTCATAATAAGGATTAATATTGCTATTGTGAATAAATAACTCATTTAAAGAATATTTTCATTTTGAGAATGTGTCTGTCATCCCTTGAAACTTTAATAATGATAAAGTATCCATTAAATCTGTCCGACGGACGAGATAATACGCGGTGGTAGTATAGAGGGATTTTGTGTTCATTCAGTATTTATAAAAAAAAGTTTAAAATGGTTTAACTGAAAGAGAATAAGTGAACGTTTAAATCGTGTTAAAAAAATTTAGGGTAGTTCGAATGATCTTCCGACAGTATTTTCTCGATCTCTTGGGAATTACTCCTGTCACGTGAAATGGTGAGTTATATAACCTTTTCCCGAGACTGTGGCGATAATTCTGGGAATGAATAAACTGCGATCGCACAAGTTCTATCGTTGTAGTCCATTGAGGCTTTGGTTATTCTACCATAACAAAAAGCAAATTGACACGTATTCCCAAATGTCCATTTAAGGGAAGAATAAAAATTATAGACACATACAAGTACTTAAAGATATAAAGGTTTAACGGATGTACTCTCATATTTTATTTATACAATAGATTTTGAGAGCACGAAAAGAAAAAACATTTGCTAATTTGATTTATGTTAAGAAAAAAATTTTAACCCTGATATATTCCTTTATTTGTCTATCGGAAAAATAATTTCAACTGGAACTCGTTAAAGGTAAAACTTTTACACTATGAAGATTAAATAAACGCAACAGGAGTCAAGCAGTGAGCAGAATATCAGGTAAATATATGCACAATGAGAAAAGTTACTATTACCGGAACCCAGTGAGATCAAGTTCAAATAGATGAGCAGATATTTACAGTCGAAAAGGAACAGCTTGTTTAAATTGCTCTACATTTAGTAGAGATTGTTTAGCTTTGAATGTACATAAGTTAAATAAAACACAAGTGAGTATATAATGAGAAATGTTTTACTTATAATAGTTATTTTATTGGCTCATGTGCTTTGGGAATAATAAAAATAATTCGATAAATTTTAGGGTTTTTTAATGTTACTGAAAAATATCTCATTTTTAGAAATATTATTTTATTACTAAGCAAAGATGAAAACGATTTACTGTTAATAATTTTTTTATATATTATTAAATTTTTTTTTTTTGATTGAAAATTGTAGGATTTTTAAGTATTTGTTGCTTTTATTTTTTCGTTTTTTCTTTATACATAGTAAAAAATTTTTCGTCAAATTTAACACAAAAATTTGTGTTGATGACTTTTTTTAAACAATTTGTGTTGAATTAATACTCTATTGTGTTGAATCAACATAAGGTAAAAGACCCAGTTATTGACACTTGCAATATTAATCTAATTAAAAAAAAACAAATCAACTCTAATAAATTAATAAATATAATTTTTGAGTTATAAATTTTAAGATAATTGATATTTTGAAAACATTTTTTTTTTTTATTAGAATAAAATTGAAAGTGTCAAACAACTAGGCCAGTGTCAATAACTGGGTCTTTTACCTTACTAAAATGCTAAATTCTACACACTAAAATGTTATATTCTACACAAACATTTTTACACTTTTCACAATGACGAAAAATTTTTTACTGTGTATTAAAGGGGTATTTTAATGTAGAGGCATGAATTTCGCCCGGTTTTTGAAGCGCTGTACAAAAGAAACAAAAAATATTTTTAGTATAAATTTTTTTAGCATTTGTTTATTGATATTTTATTATTACATAAAAAAATTAATCAAAAAAAAAAAATTAAAATTGACAAAGTTATGAGTAGTCAAAGTGGGGGGTCCAAAAAAAAGAGGGTGTCCTGGCGTGGATGATTTCAACCCCCCCTGGTGATCTGATTAATAAAAAACAGGCGGATTCTTAATTATTATAGATGCCTCTATCGTATGACCCTTGGATAAGTTAAAAGATAAAAGATAAGTTAAATCCATTGAAAATAATTTAATAAAAGTAATACTTCGCTAAAGTATCAAATTCTTTGAATATATTATCGAATTAATTTTATAAAATATTCCTTGTGACTTTAGAAATGAATATTTTATTAAAATTAAAATATGCGAAGAATGATCGCACCACCTGCTCTGAAGTATACTTCTTTATTATTTTATTAAATGGATAATTAGTGATAATTAAATGTTTCAATAAATACTTAGCCTGTAGGTTTTTTGCTGCATGATACGCCAGGAAATGTTTATTGATAAGAATTATAGGATATATTCATACTACACAATCAAGCGTTGATTGAGAGACTAGAGACTACGTGTGATAGTATACTTTCGAACGAATAATTAATAAACATTTATTTAACACTATCTTCTTCCACAAAAAGCTTTGATTTCTACTGCGAGAAATCAGAATACGAGTAAGAATTTCATTAATTTATTAATTAATCAAAAGATGCATAAAATAAATTTAGAAAAAAGTTCCATCAAAATTCATAAAATAGATTTTTAATATATTCTTTTATTTGTTAAATTTTTGAGTAATACAAAATATATAAAATTAATAAGATACTTAAAAATCTACCCAAAAATTAATATTTTAATATTTTGAAAACATTAAAAATATTTTTTTTAACATAGTAAAAATACTACATATTACAAATTTTCCATATTTTCAACTGTAATAGTTACATCTTCATTAGTTTCAATAGCAAGCCAGTTTCCATTTGCATTAATACTTTTGATGATAACAGATTTAGATGAAAATTTATTAACAATATTGGCGAGACAGCCTGGTCCAGTTGCTTGGTAAAATGACATGTAATTTCTTAAAATAATACCATTTTCGAAATTATCGTTATTAATAGATAGCAGTACGTGATCATTGTTGCGAACAGTTCCTAAAAGAACGTATCAAATAAATATTAAAATATTTAATACAGTTACAGTGTTAATGACTAAATTAAAATTACCGTACCTTTAACTTGGTGCGAACCAACTTTGACGATAACTGCATCAATTTCACCGTCCGCATGACTTTCTTTAACCTCGATACCAGCATCTTTAGCCAACATCGGGGCATTTACCAAGTTTAATCCATTTTTAGTTTGGCCTTCAAGTAGTCCAACAAGAACAGCGGTATGAACAAACTTTTTGGCGAGCATACCGTTACCAACAGTTTGACTTTCAATAGGCGCACTGGAAAGTTTTTGGTTAGATGATTTTTTAAGAAAACGTGCGCCTAATCGGCCTAACTTTTTCGAAAGTTCTATCCACGATCTGTTTTCATCGGATGTCGCGGCTGATAGAATGGGTGCATTAACTATTCCGGTGACTCTGTATTTGTCAGAAATACCAGAAATAGCAAGAAATTGCTCGGCTATTTCAACTGCTACACGCTTTTGAGCTTCTTCCGTACTTGCACCTAGGAATTATAAAAATACAAGTTATATAAAAATGCGTGATAATTATTACGAAATTATATTTTATTAATTTATCTAAAAATTACATTATTATTAAATTGATGGATTTTAACTTTTTTCAATTTTTCTAAAGCAGTTATATTGTTGACGTTTTTTAAATATACACGGAGAAAAATTAATTATACTACCTACTATACAAAAATAGTAACTCCTACTATCTAACATGGTAATAAAATTAATTAATAACAAAATAATAGGTGGTATCATTGACAATTGTAATAGTTACTATTAATAATGGTAACGATTACTATCAAAAATGATAATTGTAATTATTATAATAAATTATAACTGTTACAATCGAAGATGGTAACTGTAACCATCTCAGATTGTAAAAATTCTGAAAGAAAAAATAATATAAATTTACTTAATTAAATCCTTTATTTAGATCCATATTTTAGCTAATGTACATTTTTTTCTTTGAAATATTAAAATATTTTAAATTCCCTTCAAAATTTTTTTTTGGAAATTTCAAATTTTTTTTCAAAAATTTGACGTTGAAACTTGTTTTAGACAAATAAAAATTTAAATATATAATTTCAATTCGAATTTAATCCCGATTTTTTGTGCAGTACAGCTGCTTTTAGTTTATTCAGATATGCATCCACGGTAACGCAGATTCTTAATTTTTTTAATATTTTTTACTAGCTTAGATAGTAGTTATTATTATAACTGATGGTAACTACAACCATCAGGTTATATTAGGAATTACGATTTTGATAATAGTAGTAACTAATTAAAATAATAACAGTTATTATTACTGATTACCATCACAATAGTAGTAGTTACCATCAGGATGGTAAATACTACAATTCAGATGGTTTACTTAATTATTTAAATAATATTCACTACCATCAAATTCAGTTAATAGATTTTAACATAACTAGATGATAAACTCTACTATAAAATTTTATCCGTGTGGGAAAAGATTAAATTAAAAATCGAAATTTTACTATTTTTTACCAGAATGAAGTCGAAACTTCTTGCGGCCGTCCATACAAAGATAATACATAGTATAGAATTTACGAAAACAATTAAAATGAAAAATAGATCTAAAAATAAAATTAAAAGTTTAAGTATGTTATTAAAGTCCAAATTATTTTAGAATTAAAAAAAAAAAAGTACCAGTTCAATTTCTTAATTTTATCACATTTTTTCGATTATTTTTATAGCTACTTGAAATATAAATTGTATTTTTAGTAATAATTGATAAGAAAAATATTACGAAATTGTTACAAAAAATACACTGGAAATAAATCAACTTTTTAAACTCGAACAAATTTTTTATTTTTAAGTTTAGTCGAAATAAAAATCAAAACTTTAAATTTAAATTTAATTATAGATTTAAAATAAATTATTTAAAAAATATTTATTTTAATTAATTAATTAATTAATTTTTTTTTTTAAATGCTACTAATTAGTGGAATATTTTTAATTCTGTGATAATGTATATAGAAAAATCTAATAGTTTCAATTAAGTATATTATTTGATAATAATGAAATAATTAACAATAAACTTAAAAATCAAAAAAATTTGTGTCTACGATAATTTTTGAGAATTTATTTTAAATAATAAGAAAAAAATAATTACAAACCTAAATGAGGAGTCGCAATAACATGAGGATGTTTGATAAGTTCCAATGTTACGGGATTTTTAGGTGGTTCTTCAGCGAAGACATCAAGTGCAGCACCACTACAATAACCAGATTTAATAGCTTGAAGTAATGCTCCTTCATCAACAATTCCACCTCGCGCAACATTTATAATTCTCACGCCTTTTTTGCACTTGGCCAAAGTATCAGCATTTATGAGATCTAAAAATGTAAATGAACATCAAATAAAAATAATAAACTAACAATGCTCATCAGTCAATAAATAAAGCAGATTAAAAAATTACAAACTTCTTGTCTGTGGAATAAGTGGAGTATGAACGGTAATATAATCAGCGAGTGGCCAAATTTCTTCTAAATTGAGTTTCGTCGCACCAACTTTTGCCGTATCTTCAGCGCTAAGCATCGGATCAAAGCAGATAATCTTCATTCCATATGATTGCATTCTGAGGGCTACCTCACGACCAATACGTCCAAAACCGAGTACTGCCAGAGTCTTCTCAGACAATTCAAATCCGGAGTACAGTTTACGATCCCAGCGACCCTCCTTCATTGATTGAGCTGCCTGAGGTACATTTCTTGCAAGTGCTGAGATAAATGCACACGTCAATTCACAAGCACTGATGCTGTTACCTCCCGGAGTGCTGAAAGTATAAATAAATTATTAACAATCAATAATAAAATTAAATAATAGATAATAATGCTTTTGACATTTTTTATCATTATCATTGTTATAATCAAAATCACTAATCAATAGTAATGTAATGAAATAAGTAAATACTCACTTAAGGACAACAATTCCATTACGTGTAGCGGTTTGTAGATCAATATTATCAACTCCGGTTCCAGCACGGCCAATAATACGAAGATTAGGTACTGCTGAAAGTATTTCCGGGGTAACTTTAGTCTCTGAACGGACGATTAAACCGTCATGATTCTGCAAAAAAATCGGTGATTTATTGTTATGATCAAAATTATTCTTTCTAACGCTGTATAATATTAACACGCTCTAAATTGTTATGAGTAATTACAAAGATGATAGAGTTAAAGAAAATATGGTATGGATTTTTTTCTTTAAATTTATGTAACGATAAATAGTTTTATCGTAAAACACAGTTATCATAAAACTGAAAACTTATGGAAAACAACGTCGAAAAATTCAGCTATTTTACTATCTAAGTTCTATGAGAAGAAGTCCTATAAACTATCGATAAAGTATTAAAATTTTGAAAGAACTAACTGAAAAAATTTAGTATATGAATGTAATCTATTTTTATAATAAAATAGAATTTATGCTTGTGGAATTTAAAAATATAGATTGGAAAAATGAATAAAAGTTGACAAACTTTTGATTTTTTTTTTCAACATGCACGGAAAAAAGTAAACTGTAATATTCACTCGGATTCCGGTTAGTTTTTATAGTTTCAAACAGTAAAGTGGACATCGGGGTGGCAAAAATATAAATATTACAGAACTTAATGTAGAAAGTATGAAAGCCACAATTGAGGAGCTTATTTTCAAAAGGGTATCTTTTGATTTTTGATTAATCGAGACAAAAAACTAGTTCTCTTCAATTATAAATATTTGTATTGAACTTTTTTTAATTTAGCTATAAAGTGCAATCGGTTATGAAGCTGCAATTCGATTTTCATTTATAAATGTTCATAATTCTCGAAATAATTAGTATTTAAAAGTTCAGAAAACTGGTATTTTAAAATATGAAAAGATATATACCCTTTTGAAAATCAGCTCCTCAATTTATAATTTAATATCCAAAATAAGTGATAGTTGTCACTATAGTAAATAACGACTCTTTCATCTTAAAAAATTACAGTTTCAAACAGTAAAAATTGCCATTTCAATATATAGTCCATATTATGAAAAGAAGGGGAACTCAGATGAAAGAGAAGGGGGTCTCACTCTGGGAGAATTTAACATTTGAAACAGTAAAAATTATACTTTTAAAATATACATTTTACCAGTCCAAGCAAGTCAATAATTACAGTTTGATTTTTAGCGTTGCGTTTAAAATTTACCATTTTACTTTGTAAATATTTACGTTGCTTGTATTAGAAATTTACTAACTTTATTTTATACTTTTTACATATCATAACATCATTTTTTAGGTACGAAATGATAAATATCAAAGTCTGAATTCTTAATTATTACACTTTAACATTTTAGACATTTACATAGCGAATATTACTGTTTGAAATAGTATTTTCTTCCATGTAAAGGGTAAATTGTAACGTTTAAATGGTAAATATTATAAAGTGAATAATAAAATCACGATTTTACAGTTTAAAATGGTAATTTTTAACAGTTGATCATTACTTATTATAAATCGACTGTTATTTATTACAGTTTAATTTTTTCCGTGTGCTATTAAAATTGTTTGCTTACTTAAAAACATTTTAAATTAAAAAAATTGATTAAACTCTTGATATAATTTTGCTTTTCAAGCAGATTTCTATTAGTATATAAAGAGAGCAACCCTATTCAAATTTTTCATGCTAAATTTTTTAATTTAATTAATGTATAGAAATAGACTTTTAAAATGTTTATTGATATACTTATTATAGTATATTATAAACGACAGAGTGAAAGTATACGATAAGTCAAATTCAATAGTTGTAAATATATAGTAATACACGATTTGATGTAGTTAACATCGGATACAAACTCGACATACCACTTCACCCCAACTCCTTTTAACAACATCAACCTTAATATGATAAAAGCATATAAGTTTGAATATTGTTAAGCTGGTATGAAATTTACATTTACATTCTAGACGCGGTGACCTAACAAATATTTTTATCAGTTAGTTTGTTAATGCTATACAGAGGTATTAAAAATATCTTTGTATCGGTAAAATTGTTTATAAATAAATGATGCAGCTTATAAATTTTTAATTTAAGTACAACAACATCGGACGAGAAGGTTCTGGTAGAAACAAAAAAAAAATGTTAAGAGCTTCAGAGTATAAATCTTTGAGATTGAAAATGTAGAAAATAATACGAAAAACCGGTATAATGACCCATCTTAATAAATATGAGCTGAGAAACCGGTTAAAACGGGATGGATAGACGTTTCGTGAGTATAATATTGATTGAAAGAGCAAAATAAGTTTGGTTTTTGTTTATGATACCGTACCACGTTAACGTAGTACTACCGTTACCACAAGTGTCAAATCCCAAAACCTAACTTTATTTGATTAACGTAGTAGATTTCCCTATACTGAATTACGTTGGAGAAAGAGAGACAGAGATAAATTTTAAATGTTTTTTATCAATAAATATTCTCATATTCTTGGAAACCATACTGATTGTTACTAAACATGTTCTAGATGTTATTTCCTCTTGTTGTTTTGATTTTTATAAGAATCTGAACGTCCAGTTTTGTGAAATAAAATAAAGTCTGTGATTCTCCATAAGGATCAATGGTAAAAGCAAAAATATGTAGATATTAATATCTTTTTTTCAAGACTTGCTCGGCTTCCAAAAATTTTACTGCTTAATTATGATATTATAAATTACCAATATGCCAAATTTCATTAAATTCTGAACGTCAAATCTAAAACCGGTAGTACTACCTTAAGGGCAGACTAGCGAAAATAAACACTCAAGAATTATTGGTATTTTATTTCTTCAATTATTGGTTTTTTCTTTTTATTATGTCGTGTTTTATTCTTCATTTATTTTATTAATGATTGGTAAGTTAACGAAAATGAGGTAATTTTCACAATAATAAATGATTTGATAAAATGGTGACAAGTTGACGTAACTTTTATAAATCTGTCAAGTTTTCTAACTTTATTCAATTGTAATCAATTATAACTACTTTTCCAATTAAGGTGAAATTTTTCGTAAAGTTCAGAGAATAATTACACGGAAATGATAAGCGAACTTTTAGAAATATTTGATTATAATATTTAGATACTAAGTACTAAAGAATAAGTTAAGAGAATTTTTAAGATAAAAAGGAATATTTTTAACGACTATTAATTAAAATTTTTTTATAATATTAATAATTTTTATAACATTAATAATTTCAACTTATAAAGTTAATGAAATTGATTTAATACAATTTAATTTAAATTTAATTCTATTGAAATGTTAATACTCTTTTTACCTATTTTTATTTTTATTTTCTTTTTTCACCCATAACCAAATTTAATTGATGTAAATCTAATGTATAAAGCCGATTGGCGTATGAATAAATAAATAAATAAATAAATTTTGTATAATCCAAGTACTTGCTTTAAAATTTTATTTGATGTTAATAGAATTAGTAAATTGATTTGCTAGAAAAATAAATTGAAAATTTATATTAATAATACGTACAATTTTTTTTTATTTTGTTCCGAATCTAAAAAAAAATAAAATCCTAGGAATTGAACAAGATTTAAGAAACTGAAATATCATTCTTTCGATTGAAAAATTACATCTGATAAATAATTAATCCTAACAATTTATTTAGGACATTCATTAGACATATCTGACAAAAAAAAATTCATTTTTGATTTTTGACGCAAGCATTAGAAAAAATAAGAAATATTCAGTTTTTTAATTTTAATCAATTGAATGTATTTGATACAGTTGGCGTATTTGATACATTTGGCGTAAGTCTAAAATTAAAAACATTTTTTTATATTTCAAAAGATAAATTTAAGTGATAGTATTAAAAAAGTATAATATAATCTTAAACAGTTGAAATTTATCTTATTCACTGAAATATGCGGTTGTATCATCATAGATAATTAACTTAAACTGCATTTTTCACAAATCAGTATTCCATTACTGATTCTTCATTAGATAATAAAAGAGTATAAAATTCATCAGTATTACTCGGGTATTTTCCACCAATTAAAATTAATTCTTGTTCTTCTCTTGTTTTACCAGATTTCTTTGTGATATATAACAATGTCTTAATTGGAAAAAAGTCTGAGCGTTGGCAACCGGGTCAACACTTTTGCTAATGTAAAAATCAAATAACTTTTTTTTTATAGAAAAATCAATTTTATAGTTTATTTTAATTTTATTTTTACATACTTACGTGATTCTAAGACAATTTTTAAATCTCAGTTTCAAGATGATATTTCTTTTAAATATTTCATTGTAAATGAGTTTGATAAATCTTTTTCATTATCTATTTAAATGAATTTAATTTGATCGTAAATTTTCCTTTATTCTATTTATTACAGTTACTGAAAGCATCTTATCATCCAATTCACGTGTTTCGCTTGATACTTAATCAGATTTGCCGTGATCTAATTAAATGTCAATCATTGTGTTGAGATTCAGATACGTCTTAGCGGAACCCGGATGAAATAGAGATCTATTCAGATTGTATACTATATATAGATTGTATAAAGTCTAATTGTTATGCATAAAGATTAAATTATTTCTGTTTATAAATTCAAATAATTATTGCTTGGTGTTGTTCGTAAGATAGACTTAGTAGTAGTTGTCTAGTATATGGATTGAAAATCACTCTTCAGAATTAAAATTAACCATAATAATGTTCATTGTTGCTTATTTTAAAACAAAATGAACATGGCCACAATTTTTAAAGTAGCCACCCGATTTTGCTTAGTTTTGTTTAAAATTATCTATGCTGTTATTTAACAATATAATAATTTTAAAGTGAAAGTTGCTAAATATAATCAAAAATAATTTCATCCATTTTCGGAAAGTGGTTGCCTTTTGTCATTCAAAAGCTATTACCAAATTAAGTCATAGTTAGCGCTTTACCTATGTAATTGTCCAGATAAAAAAGATTAAGGTAAAAGACCCCATTAGTGGCATCTCTAAGCCCTATTAGTGGCACTTTTTCTTTCAATAAAAAAATGTTCTACTTGGAATAAAATTAAAAATTTTTTTGATCTAAAGGTCTTAAAGATTAGAAATAATTTATTCACAATAGAAATTAATGATTTCATTAATTGAATAAGTACCAAAATCAAAGAAAGTGTCAGTAATGGGATCCCCGCCACTAATGGGGTCTTTTACCCTACACTAAGTTTGATTAAAAATGTTTAAAATTGTCGGAACAGCTACCAGCCGTGATTATTGTAATAGTAAAAATTAAATAGATACATATTTACACTTGAAATAATAAAATTACAATTATAAAATAAATAGATTAGTTTATTGAGTTCAATCTATCGTAAGTGGTGCTCTTAAAGTGTCATCTTATCGCGTCGCTTGAACAGTAGAATTTTGTTGTCAAGATATCATTTTAATGTAAAATTCCGTTCGTTATAACTTAAATTTGATATTTTTAACTTCCTGTTATGAAAAACAATCATTTTTTTTTAGCTTTTACCTTTTTTGAAAATTAAAAAAAAAAACAGTTATATTCTTTTTATTTGTATTTTGTTTATGCATCGTTTTTATAAATTTTTAAACCAACGCAGAAAAACTCCAAGTAAATTTAATAATTTAATTGTAAAAACAGCTGTCATAAATAATGAATGGACAATTTTTCTGTTTTAAATAAATTAGTTTATGCAATGCAATTAAATTATTTATTTGAAATCTACTAAAAACTTTAAATATTAGTCCATTGAAAATAGAAAAATTTTTTAATACATGAAATTTTTTTTTTTAGAGCAATATATTTAATACAATTTATTAAAAAATCTCCTAAACAATTAAACTGGTTAATTTCTAGTGTTTAAATTAAATTAAATTTATTGTTGAATAATGGTATGTCTCATATTGTAACTGATAGTCCACATACATGTCCACAATGTGAAGCTGAAGCAATTAGTTGGGACGAAGTACAGTCCCAGAGAAAAATATTTGATATACTGTGTACGAGGAAATAACTTTTCGTTAATATATTACAGTTATGGGACAATTCAAATTAAAAACTTCCTCTTAAGTATTTTTAAAATATTTTCAACTCATATTTAACTCTTATAAAAAAAATGTAAATGTAGAATACACTTAATTTATTTAACAGCTTGAATTAAATTTTTTTTCTCGAGCTTAAGTAATTCTTGTGACAATTAAAATTAATACTTTTATTATATCTCTCAGCTCAATGAACACGCGACCGATGAATTGATACAATTAACATTTTATTAATATAAATTGAATAATTAAACAGATGTAATTTATGTTAATTATTTTATAATTGTTTATTATAAATAAAATATACCTGCAATTCTTGAATTAAGTCTTCTTTGGAAAGTTTATATTTAGCCGTCACCGGAACTCCATGGCTCGTCAGTAAATCCGCACAAGAACTATCTACCGGATCACTGATAAAAACACTTCTTAATTTGATCGACATGTTTGTTTAGAACTTGAATCTGTAAAATTTGTTTTCCCTCATTATTTAATCAAGCGTATCATGTTTATCTATTTGGAGTTTGTAGGATAGATGCAAATAATATTATAATTTTTTTTACTGCTGAATATATATATATCAATATGTTGTACTAAGAATATCAACATTCCAGTGCGTTAGTTTGATATTCATAATAACCAACGTTTCTATTAATAAATTAAAAGAAATCTTTTATCGGGATGAAGAAATTTATAATTTTTTAAATATCAAGTTACATATCAGTAAATGTTGAAACAAATAATCATTAAAGTATTACACTTTTGTGAATACAATTTAATTAAATTAAATGATTTAATTATTTTATCTATCATTTTTAAGAGAGTTTATTGCGTTATCACAATGTGAACTTTCGATAAAATAATATTAAATTTACTAAGTGCTACAATTAATTCTTCAAATAACGTGATAATCAAATCACACTGGTTGTATGATAATTACAATTAATTGAGTCAATATAAACAGTTTGCATTTGATAAATTTTTATAATTTATTGAATGTTGGAGATAATTCTCTAAATGTCATAATGGGTTTCCGGCAGATATGACCAGTTGTAAAAACATAAAACTTTAAACAGACTATTTTTATACTTGAATATTTATATATTTTTTAATAATATGTTTAAATACCTGGTTATTTGATAAAATAAAGCAATAATTCTTGAGAAAGAGTTAAAACAAGACTGATCAAAGGTCTGTGTGCCACAATTCTTATAGCTTTCAGTTCTGATACTCCCACTTCTCTGCTGAATAAATTCTCCAACCGGCTGTCTCCAAACTATCACCATAATATAATATATATCAGTAGATGTTATATTTATCAAGCGATGTTATTCACTTGATTCTTAAGAGTTTAAAAAATAACATGCTTGCGTCATTAATGCTCCGGCGAGTTAATAAATTGCATTATATATTAGTTTTGTGTGTGTTGAAAAATTTTAGCAATGTTATTGTTGTTGTAATTTTCATTAAAAAAATTATCTGGAGTTTTTTTCAGCAGAGTGATTTCGGAGTGATTCCAGAGTGAATCTGGATTTTAATCTGGAAATCATCCAAGTGCGGAATTCTTATACTAAAATAAAATTTTATTTAACTGAAAAAGTTTTATGTGCTAAATTATTTTTTTTCTTCGGTACAAAATAAATAAATCAATAAATAAATATAAATAATATTTGTGAAATATATAAAATACGTAGAAAATTCATGAGAGCACTCAAATAAAAGGTCTCGATGAGAGTAATATCGAGATGAGCTTATATCTTGAGAAATAATATTATTAGATGACAAGATTCAATGTCATTTCTAAATTATTGACATTTTTTATGTTATAAGCTTATTTCGATGTTATACTCATCGAGAACTTTCATTTAAGTACCTACGTGAATTTTTGATACAATTTGTATTTATAATATTTGTGAAATATATAAAATAGGAAAGAATCGAAACTGAAAAAATTCAAAAGTAAAAATGAATTTAATTTCCAGAAAAAAAATTTTTTCGATTAGTAAAGACAAATTTTTGTTTAATAATTCGCATTCAAAAAAAAAAATTAAATTCGAAAAAAATAACTTTTTTGAAATAAAAATATTTTTTTGACTTACACGAAAAAAAGAAAACTCGAAAAATTACAGTATATATTGCAACGTGGCGTTTCGTAATGAAAACTGGAAAAATTACAGTTTCAGATTGTAATTATTACAGATTTTATAAGAATTACATTATAAAATGTAATATTTACATTGTAAGCTCCGAATATTAAATTAAAAAATTTTGACAGAAATTGAAAAACAGTTTATTTATTGTAACTTTTAAAATCTCCAAATACGCATTTTATAATTTTTAAACGAGTCAAAACTATTTTTCATTTTTATTCAAAAAAAGAAATAAAAAATTTACTCCGCAGAGTGAAATCTATTAATAATATAATTCAAATCCATCTCGAAGTGAATAAATCACTCCCGGTGTGAGTAAATCAATTAAAAATCATCCACTCCGCATTTACTCCCAAATCACTACGCATTTACTCCAAAAATTTTTGACAGTGTAATGTGAATTATAATCATCATATATCTTATTTTTTAAATATATTTTTTTGTGTTACAGCTAGTTCACTTTGAATCCTTTATCAAACTTGAAAATTAAAATACTATGTTATGTTTCCCGCTATAGAGGAAAAATATACGAAAAAGTGAAAAAAGCTTTTTTGATAAAAAAATTAATAAGAAAAACTGTTTATAAAAAATGAAGCACCGTCGGTTGACAAAACATTAATCAATTTATACCGGAAGGCTATAGAAAGTACTATACATATTAACAATCTGCTTAACTTAACTAAAATGATAGCTTTTAAGTTATGAGTGCAAAGAATGAAGAGAATATGCCAACACACGAGTGTTGAAAGCTTTATCCTCTTAGTTCATACATAAATAAATGTAATGAATTAACATTAATAACATTATTAACATAATATTTCGCACAATGTCGTGATAAAAAAAGTGAATGGCCTTAAATACAATTATTTATTAATGAAAGATATTTCATTTATAATAGTAATAATCATAATGAATATCAGTTTTATTTTCACATTATAATATGACCATTTGTTATTTGATAACGATATTGCGCGAAATATTCGCATGGATTGACTACTTAAATATTATTTATCAAACTACTTGAGATTATTAGTTATTAGTCGATCTTTATTGCTAATTAGTTCTTGTGTTACTTATTGTAAATATAATAAAAGCATACTCTTTTGTTGTGAGATATTTTAGAAAATTTGATCCTTACTAGCCATGTAATCATCGAATATTACGATCAATAAAATCATTATTCATATTATGAGAGCAGGCTTGGGTGGGGTATTTAATTTCCGAGTTTAAACTTGACTTCTCTAAGACCTTGTGATAAAGTGTAAGGAGACGTACCCGGAAAGATTAGTACACGCATTAAAGAATACTAATAGTGTATCAAATTTGCGGTTTGCTTCTCTTAGTCATCTGTTTCTTGAGGAAATTCTGAGTGGAATTAAATATCTTACGGAATACAATGACGAAGCTAAAAGTTACAGCGCTCCTAAATTAAGGATCACGCTTTTAATTTTATTGTCATCCCTTCATGGGAAAAATTTATGAAAAAGATCAAGTATAAATGGTGGTTAATTTGGGAGATGCAGACTATTTTCTTTTTAATAAATTATGGTAGAAGAAAAAATTACAAGTACACACATTTTTTACAGTCTAAAATAACATTTTTTTTTTTTTTTTCAAGGAAATCAAAAGGACCGTTCATTAGATTAAATCAAAATTTTAGTTTAAATTAAAGAGCGAAAAATTAGAAAAATTTTTTACAAGCTGCATCTCATGACAAAAATCACCCCATTAATATTTGACGATAAAAAAATAATTAGAAGTTAAGAGTAGTTAAAACTTGTCTTAACACTTCTTTTTAAAAAGTTTTCAAAAATTTATAATTTGCTAACTTTCAAATGTTTGATACAAGCTTAGTTTAATAATTGATTTTACATCATTTTTTTCGTTAATATTGAATACTTTTGTCTATATGTGTATGTATTTATGTTTAAGAACTTAAAAAATAGGTTTTCATGACTTATTTTCTACAATAATTAATTATTAGTAATATTAAACAAAGATTTAGTTCAATAAAATATTTTAATCCAGTAGGGTGTTAGTTATAAATTATAAACTATAATTATAATAAGCGTATTATACTTAACGCATTAATTATGATTGCACAATGAAAATGTAGATTATTTATTTAATGTGGGAGAATAATATTTTCGACCGCGAGGTTATCTTGTGTGTTATGTGATGCAAGTGCTGTGCTGGGGGTCTGATCAAGTATTAATCAAACTCTGGAGCAATATCAATTTGTTTATATCTCCCTTGTTCTTGTTATTTCTCCTTTGGAATTTTTTTTTCCCACTGCGCGTGGAACATTTTATAAAATGATAAAAGCATAATTGTTTACGCCTCCTATTTTTGTTGAACAGCACATTTACATACTTCAGATTTAACAATCGCCTAAAGACGGAAAGGCTTAAAAGCTCCCGGTAGAGATTATCTTTTATCAATGGTTAATTTTTTTTTGTCTTTAATAACAAAAGAATATGTTATTTCGACTAAAATTATACGATCTATTATCGCTTTATTCTTTTTAAACATCGCATTTAATTTATTTTTTACTTCTACTTGAATGTCATGAAGAGATAATTTTATTTGCTCACGAAAAAGTACTTCTGTTCGAAAGCTATCACTTTTGATTAGGTCTTAGTCTTATATTTGGTACTGAAAGATTTTTTTAATTATTTAAAATATATAGACTAGCAACTTGTAGTCGTTAATTTAAGTGATACTACCGAGAATCCGGGATTATGGATCGAAGAAATTTCGCTCAATAATTTTTCGTTATTTTTAATCACAATGCATAATTTGGGTACTTCTGAAACAAATTTGAAAACTAATATTACTAAGACAGGGTTAATTACTAATAATTTAGTAGAAAATATCATAGAACAAACTTATAGAACCAAAAAATTATTCAAAACTCCTCTAAAAACGGAACATGAAAAAATTAATGTAAAAAGACTCAAATTCCGGTTAAGATCTTTCTTATGATACAAAATTTCATTATAGAAATCAATCTTATAATGAAGATATGTCTGTTACAAAATTTTCTTTTTTCTCATAATTAAATCGATTAATTCTTTGACCTATAATCCTATTTTCACGTAAGGTAAAAGCCCCAATAGATGCTCATGTACCAGTACATGATCATTCCATGTATTTGTATATCTATATTTGTGAATATAGATATACAAATACATGGAGGGATCATATACTGGTACATGAGCATCTATTGGGGCTTTTACCTTATGTAAAAGAAAATAAATAAATATATTTTATCTAGCACAAAATTCGAATCTAT